AACACGGTTCCCATTTTATTTTCATTTAATTTGATTGAAGTGTTTCCGCCCGTTCGCGCCATTTCACACCTGGAAAGTACAATTTCAAATAAACAGTGTAGATACCTAAGTGAAGAAAAAAGGACACATTCGTTGTTGACTTTTCAATTGCTTTAATCAGACTGGTAAATCCAAGATAGCTGAAAAGAATGTAAACTAAATGAAGATGGTCATCAGCAAGGACGTTTTTTTAGAGAGAATTCGACATTATGGCGATGACAATAGGTCTTCACATCCTTGCGTTGTTGTTAATATTTGATGCCCTCAACTCTATGTTTAACCCGAAAGTGGGTGATCGCACGGCCGGCGTTGGGGACGAGGGTGACGTAAGTCTATGAAATTATGCGTTAGTGTAGTGTGTCCAAGTTCTGAGAGAACCAATGCCGTCTTCTCCAAACGGCGTTTACGGTGTACTTATGGCCAAGGGGTAATGTCAGGCTTAAAGGGGGTATTCAACATGCATATGGGGTTTGAACTGAAACATTCGTCTTGAAGACCTTTTTGTGCTGTTTACAATCATGTCCTTTTTAAGACCTAAACCCCGACACCACTACTGTTTATCAGATCACAGATCACTGGAAATGCTCAAAATGAGCTGAAGCATGTTCTCAGGTAAATGCCGAAAGAAGAATAGTGTAATTTTGCTGGCATACTGAAGTATTTCTGTTGGATTTCATCGCATTGCGGAACTCTGACAGGCACAGGGAATATTTGTATTATCAGCAGGGAAACAGCTCGGAGGCAAATAAAAACTGAACCGTGCATGTGCCCTGGACTCTGGCTTGTATTTGTTTGGCGAGCCACAGACGGCTGTACTTTGGGAAAGCGTATCCATGATCTGTGGCGGTGCGGTAAGTAAAGTGCTGTTGACTGAGAACTGGGGTTGACAGTGAAGGCCGCTTGGCGGATAGCGCATGAGCCATTCACCAAATTTTTGTAATTGAGTGGCCAATGTGAACTGTAATAGAAAATTTACCAGGGACGACGTTTTGCAGCCCTTCTAAGCCTCCTGGTTCTTTCGCGCTCAGTGTTACAAGCGAGTATGAGGAATGCAATGATTTCGTCGATAACTTCTGAAAGCTCACTTCCTTTGTGCAATGACCTTCTTAATTTTGTCTGTCCACTACGGTACGGGGTGCGTCGTGGTGGTGACCGAGTGAATGGAATCGCCGCGGAAACTGCTGTACGAAGGATGTTGGTGGTCTGTTCGTTGCCCTGTGTTGGCGTGGTGTGGTGTTTTGATGTCAGAATGACTTCCGTCAGACTTGGCCGAGTCAGCCTTCTGTGCAATCTAACGGGGTAGGAAACGAGCAACATCGTTATCAGCGGTGGTAAATGTGCCGTAGATCTACATGAGAAAATGATCACCATCACGTAGATCATCAACCGATCAGTCAAAGAAAGTAGCGATGGCAGGGAACACACCGACAGGTCTATCGGCTTCTCCCGGCCAGTTGCCATGTGATGATAGTTGTTATTGTCCGTGTTAAGGAGAATCAAATCTTGTGCATCTAGGAAGTCTTCGATAGCTCGTCCGCGGCGATCTGCTGATGGGCGCCATTGCTCCAAAGCATACTATGCCGTTGAAATGCCGAGGATGAGATACGGGTTTACAAATTGTTTAACAAGATGGACAAGGCGGCGTGAGAGTTGATAATCGTCAAGTTCCGTAGGTAAGTATTTGGAGCATGTGCCGATGGTACGACCGTGTAAACGCGATGAAGTGACAACAGGTTGCAGATGTGGGTTTAAAGTCAGCTGTGTGTAAATAAAATCGTTGGAACCATGCAGGGCAGCCACATCATGGCGGCGCTCACCCTCCAGTTCCATCCAGACGAGATAAAGAATCGTTGATGAGGTTACAATTTTAAGGGTCAGTGAAAAGGAACCGAGTTTCTTGAACGGCAATGATAAGTGGTGTTTGAAATAAAAAAAACGGTTTTGCTTCAGCCCAGCTTCTAACTAATCCTCGGCAGTTCCACCGTAGAAAGAAAGATATGAATCATTGATTTAAGTGTGACTAGCCCCAGCACCGTGAGGTGCTGTGACTAGTCAGTGAGGTGCTGTGATTAGTGATCAAGAATATGTCCAGTGCCACCAGGCGGGATTCGGCCACGTGGCATGGACCGTGCCCGTCCCATAAACACCCGGACAGGTGGACGGGAACGGCTATCTATGCCAGTACAGGGAGGACACCCTGCAGGGCCGCCCCAGGTCGGCTGCCCGGCGTGCGCCCACTCGGGCCACGCCGCGGATGATCCACCGCCTGAGGGCTCTGAGGCCGGTCGCCCTGCGGCCGGGCACATGGCCGTGTCCCCGTGACGGTGCGAGGGTCATGGGCGGCTCCTGAGAGGAAGCAGCTGAGATGGATTCCTGAGCTACTTGTGAGACAGGGTTGAGCGGAGTCAGACGTTTTGGAGGTGGCAGTGCTGGGAGGGGAGCTGTTCGTGTGGAACAGTCGACGGTGGTCTTTTCGGCCACCGGACGTATGTTTTTGTTTTGTTTTGTTTTTTGGTAGTGAAGGTTAGCAATGAGGCGTTGACAGTAGAAGCCTGTGTGTGGGCACACCTGTCTTGGCCCTCGCAGCGCAAACATCCCTTTCCTCCTTCCAGACGTGGCATTGAGTTGATGACGTGGCATGCTCAGAACTGTCCCAGCTCAGACGCTTGATCGGCGCTGTGCATGCCGACCCCTCGTGTGGGGTTCCACTGCACTTAAAAGCACCTGGCGTTCTGCCAGCAGGGTCTGCTGTCATGTCCAAAATATTGGCAGTTGAGGCAACGAAATGGGCTTGGTGCAAATACGCTGACTTCTTATCGGAGATAGCCGGCTATGAGGGTCTGAGGGAGTCTAGTGCCTTCAAACACCAAAACGAGCAAGCTAGTGTCCTAACGTTGCCCATCTCGGAAAAAGTGGCCAGTCGGTGGACGTGACACGCCTCTCCCATCCAAAGCTACGTCAGAATCTCTTGCTTGATCATGAATCGGAGCTCAGGAGCAAAGACTGAGTGATTGGCTGGTTAATTGAGGTTTATTTTTGACTATGGACATGCAGCAGTGGAAAATATGAGTGGATTGCCGCAAAAGCAGAACGCTTAAACCAGAACGCCCATTCTAACAATAACAAAATATGGCAATCGCAACGATCAAAAACGCTGCGACGTTATTCTGGATTACCATATAGCCCCCCCCCCCCCTTAGGATAGAGGCTTTTCAATTTTGTTCCGACGCCATTCACGGCTGTTGCCAGCCAAAGAGGGACATAACCCGTTAGCCATTTGTGTTGTGATTGTGTGGGGTGTGCGCCCTCGCCCTCGCTGTCTTCCGAGCTCTGCATCTGACTGGGTGCCGGGGGGCGTCACGTGACCGAGGGTCTCCCGATTCGCCGGGGGTCAAGGGTCGGCCGCTGAGGCGGCGGCAGGGACCCGACGCTCGCATGCGCCGGTCGGTTTTTAGACGAGTCTGGGCGAGTACGCGCTGCGTTCTCTTACACCATTGTCTTCTTCATCCACAATCGGGCTGCATTAATTTCACCACCAGATGCTCGTCGATGGGTTTGGGCTGCCGGCTGCAGCTCGCCACTCCATTTACGGGCGTCTTTTGGCCAAGCCCTCGTAACGGTGCGGGGTCGATGCAGAAATATGTCTTGAAATTCTTCCGGCTTTTGCCGTGTATAATTTATAACAGCCTGTTTACTTAGTCGCATCTTGTATTTTGCCATATCGCTATCGCAATGCCTGTATTGCCATATCTCGCATCTCGCCAGCTTCAAATAACTCCCGCTCTCAGCAACGTTACCTCGTCCTTATCGGCGCTGTTTAAGCCAGACAGGAGTTCCCAGACATCGGTAAAAGTACTATTCAGAATAATCATAACGAGCAACTAAAGCAGTACCGCGGGTGCCCGCTAAATCCGTCGTCGCGCCTTTCAAGCCGAGCCTCTGCATCGGATGGCGATAAGTTTGTTTTCTTGACAGAACGCTTGTACACCAAGATAAAGTTATGTTATAGAAACTTAAGTTTAAAAGACGTTAAGATTATAGGAACTGCAGGAGTGGACTAGCACGCGTGAACCGGCAGTTCTGACATTCAGCAGGCTCTCCTAGGTACTGCTGAATTTTGTTCTTATGTTGGTGAGCGTCGAGCTCGTATGCTTTCTGGACCAATTACCTATGGCTAATTTTGGCTGCCAAACATGCATTTGGGTCTTACAACACTTTTGATTGATTTAGTTTTATAGATCCCATCGATGGCTGCGCGTGAACAAATACAATCCTAAAAGACAAACCAATCAGCGGGCGGGAAAGGACGAATGCGCTGCCTTATATGTGGCGAATAACTGCGCGCTAGACATGACCATTATTTTGGTAGTTATCTAACATAGAGCAATCACATTTCCCTAGAGCCTGGTACAGTCAATTGATGCGACACAATGCTTGTTCCTCACCTCAGTACATAACGGGCCGACATGAATTGGTGCGTATCAACTGACCAGCTTTACCATACGTCTAAACCCGTACACTTGCAGTCCTCAGCTGAAAGTAAACAAAAAATAAATTAGCATAATGGTCACCGCCATCGCCGCGACCGCAAGCTGCTGTCACGGCTGATAACCAACATCCTCAAAAAGCCATTGGCTAGATCTATCGATACCTTCTCAATAATGTCGATGTGTTTAGTAGTGAATATTGCTTGGGGGCTTCCCGATAGCTTCGTTCTTTCACACAAACCAGAGAAAACTTGGGGGCTGTGGCAATATCTCTTCAGAGGAGACGAATTTGTAGAAACCAATGGCACCAGAATTTGTAAATTGAAATTCCCTTTCATCCTACGCGCACAGCCAAAGATCGCAACTTGACTAGACACACCCCCTTTGAATATCAAGTAAACAATGGCACGTGGCAGACTCCGAATTTTCACTACAGGTGTTTTATACTTCAAGCGCATTCCCGGGAAAATGTGAGTGGGTTTACCTGAACATGAGTAGTGAGCACGCAAATCATAAATAGCAGTACATGCAGGTGTGTTCATAAAAATGCGTCGAACTGCGGTTGACATTTATAAGTCCAATATCACAAAAAAGTGCCCAGCATCGCACAGCATATTTGTCCGGTGAAGACGAACCTGTGTTTCCTGGCCAACCAGCGTTGTCAAATTACTTCAAGAGGGGATGCCATGGATTTCAGGAGAAAACATTTCCGAGTGGATCTACTGGGCGTCAGTATTTCTTACCGTCGAACTTATTGCTTCCATCTTACTGGTAAGTAACATCACATGGGGCTGGAACCACGGGAGGGGACCGTGTTTCGCCAGAAAATTTTGGGATGAAAACCTACAAATTTAATGTAAAAGGCGCTCAAAATGATCGATGGCCTCTCGCTCCTCGGCCACTGTTGAGCCTTTTGCTTACCAGTGGGCTCCAAGCGAAGAACATACCCTTACGCAGTTTGGTCTGTAGCATTACCAGTGCCGACTTTACGCCCATTCTTGATGCATTGGTGTGTGCAATTTGGATTGGAGACATATACACATAGACGAGGTTACAACCAGAAGAGTTATCACCTAATTGCTGCCCTACGGGAATGCAGGGCTACTGTTTTATCTGCATTACTGCATGGGTGTCCAGCATGCATGCAGCGGAAATACTTAAGGGTCCCTATTCGTACACAAAACAGCCACACAGGGGTGAAAAGTGTCTTTTCCGTCGCAGACTAAAATTGTAACAGCCTAGATTGTCACCTGGAGCCAAATTTATTTGAAACCCGTGTAGTGCAGTTTTAATGGCGATAAAATACACAAAACTTGAAGATAACTAGCACGCAACTCGTTATATACATTAAAATGGAACTTGTTTTTATTAAATACCTTAAAATAGAACTCCGCTCGTTTCGGAAGCTTTATTTGTACCAAAGCTTCATTTCCTGGGCACCTCACGTGGTCATGTGGTAAGAGCGTTGGCATCCGTGCACGAGTAGCCAGCGCAGCGTACTTGGGCCGATGAACACGTCGATTCGGTTCAAACCTAGGTGTTGCATGCAAGGAGAAAGACGATTTGACGGTATACTGGTGTAATACCAGTGCTGAAGAGATCTCTCTTACAGAGTTGGATCCATACACAAAACAATAACGCGACACGGCTTCCCTACCAGACTGAACACTCCTCGTGAAGTGACGTGCTACATCTTCTAATATGAGGATTGCTGTTGTTGTTTCGTATAACAGCTATGGCCTGTGTCCAAAATCGCAGTGTCTGAAACAAAATCTCATAGTTTTCCATACTTCCCGAAGGTCAGGTTGCTAGTATTTACAGTCCACATTCGGAAAACATTTACTACCCAATCCAGAATCACTCACCAGAAATCCGACACGAGATAACCTATCCAATGGTCTGAGTTACATGGGTAACTGGTGAATGTCCGGGTAACGAGCTGTACTTAGCGAGGCTGGTTGGTTACCTCTGAATGTGGGTGCTGCTGCAATGTCAACAGGTGTAAGCCCCGGAAACATTTAGGGTGTGGTTACATCCATGGATCCCACTGAAATTATTTATAGTTTTGTAAAACCGTGCATGACGTTTGATTCGATAGCCTTGGTGTTACCCGGGACACTCTAACCATCGTAGCGATGCTGTTTTTTTTTTGGCATGGCTGTTGGCATGCTTAGTTTTCAGTGTACTACTGGAGTTCACAAGCCAGCTGATTTTTCTGTTTGACATAAGTATAGGGAGCTAAATATTCCAAAAACTAAGCCTTAGTGATGCATCCGTCTCACTAGGCGACAGTTGTCGGTCCACCTGCCATCGCGTTCGTCACACTTATACAGCATTGAGGCAGTAAGATGCGCCTGGTCCAGATACCATTACTTTTTAGGGGACGATGAACACCTGCGCAAACAGGCTTTGCAGCCCCATAACGTCCTGCCCGTCCAGCTCCGTCCAGCTGGCCGACTCACGCTTCTGCCATTCACGGTCATGTGCCTGCCTCTTGACTTCCTTTGATCGTCCCAGGAGTGTTTACAAGGGTAACAAATCAAAAGCCATGGTCCTACCACAGTAATTGCAATCGGCACCATTCGAGCGTGACGACAGCAGGATCAGCAAGACAGAGTCTCAATCCCCCTGACAGTATACAAAGTGACACCCCGGTGACACGATACCCCAGCGGAGGGATTTGGCGGCGCTCTTGGCACGGCGTGGCGGAGGCGTCATTCCTTGGCAGGCGCGACGCTTCGAAGCGCCAGGTCTTGCTTTGGCATGTCTCCGCTGAGACGGAGCAGCGCCCGTCCGCGACTGCCGCGAGCTTGGTGCGGTCAAAGGTGCAACGGTGCTGTGTTCGCCGCATCGCCGTTGCTGTGGGATTGTGCCAGCGTGCTTGCCTCCCCATCAACGACTCTACGCGCCGTTGACGCAAAGGCACGACCAGGTACGCTTGCACGAGCGTCGCAGTGTAGGGAGGAGTTTGGGAGCTTGATGCGCATTTTCGTACCAATTCGAGGTTGTCGAGGCTCGGTACCCTGCTGTCGAGACTGGGTACCCCGCTGTCGAGGCTCGGTGCCCTGCTGTCGAGGTTCGGTACCCCGCTGCTGGGGCTCGGTACCCCGCTGTCGAGGCTCGGTACCCGGCTGTCGAGGCTCGGTGCCCTGCTGTCGAGGTTGGGTACCCCGCTGTTGAGGCTCGGTACCCTGCTGTCGAGGCTCGGTACCCCGCTGTCGAGGCTCGGTACCCCGCTGTCGAGGCTCGGTGCCCTGCTGTCGAGGTTCGGTACCCCGCTGTTGAGGCTCGGTACCCCGCTGTCGAGGCTCGGTGCCCTGCTGTCGAGGTTCGGTACCCCGCTGTTGAGGCTCGGTACCCTGCTGTCGAGGCTCGGTACCCCGCTGTCGAGGCTCGGTACCCCGCTGTCGAGGCTCGGTACCCGGCTGTCCAGGTTCGGTACCCCGCTGTTGAGGCTCGGTACCTTGCTGTCGAGGCTCGGTACCCCGCTGTCGAGGCTCGGCACCTGCCTTTCGAGGCTCGGTACCCTGCTGTCGAGGCTCGGTACCCTGCTGACGAGGCGTGCGAGGCGGTGAAGGGGTGGCGTTCATTTGAATCTCAGCGGAGCGGAATGGTGTTACATCAGCCTGCGATCCACCTGCCACTGTCATCACTGTGATGCACCTTACAGGTACAATACAGTCTCTTCACAGCAACGACAGCAGACTTGAGTGCCCGGGTGGCCAGCGTCCACGAAACCGCTCATTTTTCTCCTTGTGCACCACTTGTCACTTGCTCATGCCCCGATGCCGGGCACTGTGTTTACCACCTGCCTTTACCATCCCGTGGCGCACGTAAAGGACAGGATCTAAGCTGGTCAATATCGTCCCACGTGTTGCTCCGCAGGGACACTAGCCTCTCGGCGGGTGTCGGGGTGTGCTCACGGTGTGTTCCGTTGCCGTGTCGTCAGTACCCCGCCATGCGACGTTTCAACGCCGTGCTCGACGCATCGTTCATCGATGACGACGAGACGGCCGAGAGCGTGCCGGTGACGTCACGGCGGGGAGTGCGCGTCATCATCCCGCCGGCGGTACCCGTGCAAGGTATGGCTTCCCGGCGCCGGGCGGCGGCCGACCTCGCTCCAGTCAGCCGCTGGCGGCTATGTTTGCTTCCTCAACAGCGTGGGGCTATACATTCATTTCAGGTGCATTCAGGTCAGAGATACATTTGCTCAGTTGCGTTTGTTTCCGCTGGTGTCGTGCAGCGTTAATAAATACATGCGGTTGATGCTACTTCCAGTCAAGGCATGGAGCTAAATCACTTGCGCTTTATTTTTCGTGCCATACATTAAACCACTCGTAGAACGAGATGAAAAGGACACTTGGCGGTGCCCTCCTCTACAATTCAGCCGAACCAAATCGCGACGAAGCTACGGCGACGCGAACCCGCCCAGCATTATCTTAAATCCCCTTTGACATCGCGTGCCAGGCGTCAGTCAACGAACGTATCGTCTCCCTCTTTCGTCCTCCATCAGCTCGATAACGCTCCTACAATCACACAGGCCGTTCCTCATGAGGAAGAATGAACAATCGAGCCGGTCGATCCCTGTTGGCAGGCGATGCGTCAGCGCAGCAGGGGCCGAGCTCTCCGCGGCCGCAGGGTTCGCCCGCCCGCGCGCCGACCTCGCCCGCCCGTGGGCAGGCCTCGCCCGCCCTCGAGCCGGCGGCAGCCCATGCCGGCACGCGCGTCTCCAGCGCGACCGCCACGCCCGCCTCGCCCTTCGGGGAGCCGTTCAACCTGGCTTCACACTCCCACGTGGACCAGTCGGTGAGAGCTTCAGAGAGCAGTGGAAGTCAGTGAGAGGTCTGTGGAGTGGTGAGAGCTTCAGAGCAGTGGAAGTCAGTGAGAGGTCTGTAAAGTGGTGAGAGCTTCAGAGAGCAGTGGAAGTCAGTGAGAGGTTTGTGGAGCGGTGAGAGCTTCAGAGAGCAGTGGAAGTCAATGCGAGGTCTGTGGAGTGGTGAGGTCGGTAAGAGCTATGCGGAACGGTAGAGATCAGCGGGAGCTTTGGGGAGCAGTAGAGGTCGGTGGGATCCCTGTGCAGCATTAGAAGAGATCAGCACGAGCCCCGTGGAACGGTAGACATCGGTGGGATCTCTATGGCATGGTGGGGGAGGCGCGTGTATGCCAGTGACCTGGGCCAAAAGCAGCTCGGAGAGCAAGCCCTCGTCTGAAGAGTCTATATCTGGCATACATACGAGGCAAGAAACTGCCTTGCCCAGAACTGTAAGGTATAAAATGACACTGTCGTTCCCAAGGAAACCCAATGTTTGCTTTGCCCTGGCTCACAACTTTTCATAAATATAGTACTCAAGAACACCTTACGATCGATAATAAGCGTTATGTTTCTTTTTAGTTTCTTTTTTTAGAAGCCCTCCTCAAAAAGATGCATTTGAAAGGAGTTGATATTTAAGTTTGAATCCTGAGTTAATTACTACTCGTATTCATCCTTACGTGGGGCAATAGAGGAATAAAGTGATGCGCATGTTCTCGCCACATCGTCCAACTCTTTCAAGAGGTCGGAATCTTTGACCTAACCTAGGTCACTGATCTCGGTAGATCAAAACTTCAAATTAACACAAAGGCTTTCAAATTGATAGACAAAGAGGCACGAAAAATTTGGAGCCGCTGCAAGCGATGGTTTTTTTATCTATGCTCCAAAAATCGTAGCGAGAAGTTGACTCTCCCACGGCCGGGCGCGGGTCAAGACCTAGACCCCTCCAGTATCTGGGCTACACACCCTCGAAAATGTGCTGACTATTTCATGCAGACTATGTCAAGGTCATCCAGGCATCCATGACGCCATGATAACGCCATTCAAATCTTGTCATTTAATAGGCCATGCAGCGATCAAGGCCAATAAAAAATAGCTGTCAAGCGGTTCATATCGGATGCTCAGGAGCACGATTTGCAGATATAATGACCATCAATTGGCTCTCGATTTGTTGACAATTTGTCTCAAACCGTCAACGTTGTGCAGGGTGCAATGACACAATCAAACAATGATGTATCAAAGAGTATATCTACGAAAGAAAGGAATCGTGTTGCCTAGAGCGGTCTTTGCCACTCAGAAGACATAAAGACATGAAGCCATCAGGCCAAAAAAGAGCCACAGCGGCCCATCTAGGTTCGCCTGCTTCAGGTTCCGCAAACGTGCTCAGCACTGAGCTAACCACCTGACTTGCCTGAATTTAGCTGCAAGTGAGACCCTTAGATCGATAACCGATAATGGACGATAATGGACAAATAGTGTAAGAAAATACATTAACAGTTATGGGTGAGTTTATTCCATCGTATCCAACGCTTGCTATAATATTTTCAAATGTGAAACATTCCGCTTAATTATTGGCATGCTAGGTAGCAGCTACCTAAGCACATCACTATTAGTAAAATGCTAATTTTGTACGAAGTATGATTCTGTGGCTGCCTAGTGTTTTTGTCATCTCAATATTTTCAAATGTTACGCCAGTTTGCAAAGGTGTGATATTTTGTCCAAATGAAAATACCTGGATTGGCACAAAAAACAATCAACTTCAGTACATGGGAGCTTTTAAAAGTACAGGCTCGCCAAGATAAAAGCCAACGCCTGTGTTCTCGAACAGTGGTGAGCGTATTTGTCGCATAATCGTGGATGTAGTGGTTATATGACACAGCCAGCAACAGTGATGGTCATCGGTGATCCCTTGCTAAGGTTTACCGAGATGTTTTCTGTAAATTACACCCCGCTTTGAGCTTTTCAGACAAAGGCGCCAAACATTTGCTTGAAATGGAAACTAATTTCTCCTCAGGAAAACAATGTTGAATCTATAATTTTGTATTTTTTACATTGCAAACGTAAATCCAAGTGATAGAAATCCGGGAAAAATCAGGCTTTAGGGTTAGGTAAGGTCCACCTTTTCGGCTGAGCCTCCCGACCGATTTAAAAAGCGACATCCCTGGGTCGTGCCTCCACCGTAGACCCCTGTACCGATGGGCGTCTCTAGCGGAGGCTCCTGTGCCGGTGGTGCATCTAGCAGGGGTTCCTGTGCCTGAGGGTGTATCTAGTGGAGGCTCCTGTGCCTGAGAGTGTATCTAGCAGAGGCTCCTGTGCCTGAGGGCGTATCTAGCGGAGGCTCCTGTGCCTGGGGGTGCCCCCAGCGGAGGCTCCTGTGCCGGTGGGTGCCCCCAGCGGAGACTTCTGTGCCGGTGGGTGTATCTAGCGAAGACCCCTGTGCCGGTCAGTGCATCTAACGGAGACTCCTGTGCCCCTGAGTGTCTTCAGCGGAGGCTCCTGTGCCGGGGTGGGATGTCTCTACAGAAGGTCCCTCCGCCGATGGAATGTCTCCAGTGAGGGTCCCTCTGCCGGTGGGGTGTCTCTAGTGAGGGTCCCTCTGCCGGTGGAGTATCTCCAGTGAGGGTCCCCCTGCCGGTGGGGTGTCTCCAGTGAGGGTCCCCCTGCCGGTGGGGTGTCTCCAGTGAGGGTCCCTCTGCCGGTGGAGCATCTCCAGTGAGGGTCCCCCTGCCGGTGGGGTGTCTCCAGTGAGGGCCCCTCTGCCGGTGGGAGCCCCCCAGTTGGCATCTGAGCGCGGGCCGCGACGGTCGGCGTCGTCGGCGGCTCGCAGCCGATCGGCGACGGCTGACAACGAGGCGAAACGCTGCCCCAGCGCTCGTGAGTACTCGGGGCGGACGTTTGGCAACGGGTGCTGAAACAAACCGCTTAGTGCATGACGCGCGCGCGCGCCAATGAATGGCTGGTTGGCTCCTGAATTGGACTGGACTGAAGGGATGGATGGGGGCCGTGTGTACGTCACTGAATACACTGTTTACAATATGTTGTGTGAGAACGCTGGCCTCTATGCGTTTGTAACTGCGTGCTGGAGAAGCTTTTGTGATATTTTGTAAACGCTTAAATCACGCTGCTTGTTGGTTTATAGTTAAGTTCCATATTCACATTCACTTTACATGCATATATGTTCATGTATGCCTGTCAAATAAATTTCAAAAATGGTGTACCCTCGGTTGCTCACACTCATTGAATCCGCTCCTTCGCCGCGTGACCCATAGTAATGGTAGCGCAACTTTCAACTGACACTTCAACAACTTCAACTAACCGTTTTATATTTTGTTGAGTTTGGTCAGCTTGGTACTCCATGTTTTCATAAACCGTTCTGAGTGTAATGAGATGGAGAGAAATGAACATGCGAAGTAATCGTACAGCCCTTCGCTGGCGCTTCATCGATGTCATTGTGAGTTCACGAGCAAGTGCAGGCTTGTCAAGTCAGATCGGTCAGCCACCGTTCAATACATTTTCTGCTTTTTCGCGCCTCTGAAAAAGGCACTGTGGGATGTGCCTCCAAAGCACATGATTTTGTAAGTCGTCAGTGGTGAATCTGACTTCACCTTACCCGGAAAACGCATATCTGTATTTCGTGTCAACATACAGCTAGTTTCTACCCCTTGCATCCATCCGTATCCGAACCGGAAGCATGCACTTCGTGCCGCTCTTCGTTGCACGCGTGAGAAGCGGATTATGTACTAAAGTACTGCAGGACACGGCTGTGACCTGACCGTTGAAAATGACCTGACCGTTGTGGCTGAACCACGAACTACCATGGGTGCCACACAAAGTCCAAGCTACTACCCGCTTGGGTCGCGCAACGACCTAGTCTTATTGATGGCCGGCCCTCGTAAAGTAGCGCCTTTCGGTGATGAACTTCCCAATGGAATATTACTGCTTGGGTGTGCGCGGGACACTTTGAAGTTAACCCATCCAATGCGATTTGTACGTTCCACTGATTGGCCGCACGTTTCGCAGCGCCCCATCCTTATCTGCAGGTGGTGAAAGCGCTGATGTCCGGCTCCCCGGTCTCCACCGAAATTTCGGCGGCCTATGAGGTGCCCCAGTACCCCATCGAGCAGATCGAGAGCAAGATGGCCATGCAAAAACATCTCAGTCAGAGGTGAGCGGCGACGCTAGCTGACTGACCATCGATCGCAGAGGCGGGAGGGGGGGGGGGAGACACCCTCCCCAGCGGTCCTAGGTCAGGCTGGCAGCGTGCGGCACACGGCGTCCCGGCAACGCACAGGCCGGTCGGCGCTGTGTTCGGCAGGGCGCCGGCTGTTTCTGGGTCAGGATGCTAACCACACAGGCGTGCTCTGCGAAGTCTGTTGGGGAGGGAGACTTGCTTTGGTTGCAGGGGTTCCGTCGAGTCGCGCGTATTGTTAGCGACAGATAGTGTGCATAGCTATAGTTATGCGCACCATGCGTACTCGGCATAGTTAGCGTGGCAAGGGCTGGCGTGCTGGTTCCAACCAGCACCCAGGTATACTGAGTCCGACCCTGCCACACTACCACCGCATCCCACATGATAGTAACGTACGCATCCGTCTCGAAATGGCCATGGCAGTCGGTGAGACGCACAGCTCCAATTAAAGTCATTATGCATTCGCAGAAGCAGGTCTCTTACCATCGGAGCTCGTACCAACAAGATGGAACTTTAAATTATGTAACCCGTGGGAACGAGATTTGCTAGGAAAACGGCAGCTGAGTGCTCTAGCGCTATGCTACAGCCTAAAATGTAGAGGGAGAGAGAGAGAAAGAGAGAGAGAGAGAGAGAGAGAGAGAGAGAGAGAGAGAGAGAGAGAGAGAGAGAGAGAGAGGAGAGAGAGAGAGAGAGAGAGAGAGAGAGAGAGAGAGAGAGAGAGAGAGAGAGAGGGAGAGAGAAGGGAGAGAGAGAGAGGAGAGAGAGAGAGGGGAGAGCAGTTTACATGCTCTCTTGACTCATCCTTGACGTCACAGCACCGTTTACCGTGCTGATGTTGCGTTTTCGATGCGCGAAAACCGAAAAAGGTCGCCTTTAACCTGACCAGTATGACATTTTCAAACGTGGTCTCGGGCCTGGTGTGACTCGGCCATGCACCGGACGCTGGTGTACCCAGCGGCCGTCCGGCGCCGCGCGGTGCCCTCCGGCTCCGGCATTGCCGGCCGCTGTGCCGGCGTTGGCGCCGAGAGGCGGCCGATCGGCACCAGACACCGCACCGCCCATGGTCGGCCAAGGCCGGCGCCGGACGAGTCAATAATAGCGTGTTTCCTCCATCCCATTGATCTGGTTTCCCGGGGCACTCTCAGCTCGTAATGGGCTCAACGACGTCCGGCGGTGTCAGGGGTGTCCGGCCTGGGGCGCCCCGGCCGCGGCCGCTCCGACCCTGCCCCGGTCGGAGGCGGCGCCCGGTGAACCACCCCTGGGCAGCGGCTGCCGCCGACCTGGCGACCGGCCAGCAGCTGCCGCAGCTGCGGCGACTCGGCCGCCAGCTGTTTGCATGGCACCGACAGCCGCGCAGGCTCGGAAACGATAATGAACTATCGGTGTCAGCCTGCATGCGTGACCCTGTAAGCGACAGCTTATATTGCCCCTCCCCACTCTCTTCTCGCTTTTGAATTGCAAAGACTAGCCAGCGAAACACATGTCATGACTGCAACGTTTTCCATTCGAAGTGGCTGATAACTTAACGAAGATTGCGATTTTCATAGCAGAACATTTGTTAGCATATGTCTCATCCTATACGCATTTGAGCATCGGCACATTTTTGCGTTTATGGTCAGCGTTCATCTGCATAGCAAAAGTTTTCACAACAGCCACCGAGCGCGAACGCTTTTTTCAAATTTTAGAATGACCTAGACATGCTAGCGTCTTGCAAATGCTGTGTTCAGCTGCTAAGCGAGGTGACGGAAGCCTGCGTGCCTTGATCCCAAAGCACAGAATTACGTAAAAGACACCAGTCTAAATGTCCGGCGATTTTCAGCAATACTTGCCAGATAGCACGACCTGGCGTATATTCAGCATCTTTACTTGCACTTTTGAAATTGACGGTTTGAGTGAAACACTGAAAGACCGCTGGCCGCTGGTGGCATACTTTGGTGTCAAACTCAATGACCTTGATGATCCCAGTGAAAAGTTGCTTTTGAAATGCATCAAGAAGTAACAGCAGCCAGAAGAATCGTAGGTCACGGGTCACAAGCCCGCGTCCTGTGCTGATTGCGTTCGTTTCGCACCGTCTCGTGTGACTTACACATCGTCTCCGTTACACGCAGTCCGTGGAAGTCATCTCAAAGTGGAAAACGTATCAAGAGAATAAAAGAACAAGGACATAGAATTGGTACAATGAACTCCCTGAGGTGGTCAAAGAAAAGCGGAGGTCAATATCATGCTGAGCCCCACCAGTCATTCGCCGCTTATTAATGCAATGCACGACAATCGATGCGTTGAATATGTGCACCGGTTCGCTTGCGCCGTGCCATGACGTGAGGCCAGACATGTAGTGGCTGCCCCGTTCTCCCTGACTGTTCTGATTGCAATGCAATTAACGCTTTTGCAGGGACCGTGCTCAGCGTCCATTGGACACGTAAGTTTGCCGTATGCTTTAGCTGAGTGGCCGTGGCTGTTAATGGTAGCGAGCATGCCATAAGGTTGTGAATAAGTTCCGCGCTGCGGATGCTTGTAAATGCATGGTGAGCGCAACTAAAATATATGCAAAGGCGTTGGCAGCCAACCGCCGTCCTCAGGTAAACCGCACATGAACGTGGTCATGAGCTGAGGCACCTGCAAGCGAAAGAGGCAGCCAGCAACATTTAGCGTACTGTCCTGTGCTCTTGCCCGTCGCTTAGAACAAAAGTGTCAATGGTGCAAGGTCACTAATCTTGCTAATACAGAATACTAGGCGACTGTCAAGTGCAAAATGCGTTTTATTTCAAACGTCATTGCCCGATCCAAATAAAAACACAACCGCTATGGGTTAGGATGCGAAGACGAAGTGAGCTTTCAAGAATAACAGAACTGCCACCGTCCGCCAGCAGTTTTAGAACCCTCCATGAGTACCACGGCCATCAGCCACTTAGTAGTTTGCTTGACACCGGGAGGGGTAATCAAACTTCAAAATTTAATGGTCGTCACTATACTGAGAGTGGCATAGTGCTGTTTACAGGCTCAACCAAATTTTGTGCTTGAAATTTGGTTAGAATAAGCTGCTTGTTGCACCTTGCACCACCAATAAGCACCTTGCAGGCCCAATGATGCGTCCTACCTGCTCATGGGGTAACAACCTTGGGACGACACGCCAAACTCCTACGTCTTTGTCTCGACTTTCCGTGTGGTACCACCTCTCCTCACATAGACCCCATCACTCTCAGCTCTGTTCCCCACACCACTTTCCGTGTGGTACCACCTCTCCTCACATATACCCCATCACTCCCAGCTCCGTTCCTCATCACATTTTTCGTGTGGTACCACCTCTCCTCACATATAACCCATCACTCCCAGCTCCTTTTCCCACCCTACTCGAAGATGGCTTGGGGCTGAAAATTTCCGAATCTCTTCTTCTTCGTCATTCACTGGCCTTCAGATTTCATCTTAACCAAAGTCAACCGGATATTTCCTGCATGTATGTCCCGATGCCTGAGTTGGTTAGAGCGCCTGCCTTCTGATCCACCCGCTCGTCATGGGGCTGGTTCGGGTCGCTTTAGGCGCTCGCTGTTTATTCTGGACTTGGATGACCTGTGACCGATGACAGCAGCCGCGCTAAAGGTCAGATGACGCCGGAGGCCAAACCGGGCCGTGCTGAGCGCTGTGTCGCGTTAAACTTTCGCCAATCTCAATCTCTGGCGTTGACCTGGAATATCAACATCGGGTGTCTGGTTCAGGTCAACAAGCGCTGTTCTGGTTCTCGCAACGAGCGCTGCGTGACGTGAGCTATGATCCCAGAAATCCGTCCAACCAAGAGGTACAGACAAGCCTGCGTTTAAATGTGATGGACTAAATGTCGCCCACGCAATTCAGCTTTCAGTTTGCCGCTTCATAAACTGCAGGCCATTCGGTGAAAGAAAATCGCAAATTCTAAGTCATGTCTGAAGTCAAGTCATGAGCCAAGTCAAGAGGAAAGTAAGTCAAGACTGAATGCTGATTTCATGCTAAGTTATTGGAGACCTCTAATGATATAACACTTATTGTTACGCATCGAAAATAAATGGCCACGGACATAGCATACTTTGCAGGGAGGGGTCTGTCAATTGTTTAAGCGCGGCTGCGTCACCCGTGGGTCAACTGGGTCTTCCGTCATGGCATGCCAAGAGTTCTGTGGGTGCCACGGTATGCCAAGAGTTTCGTGGGCGCCATGGTAGCCACACTTTTTTTAGAATGCCCAGCATCAAACCTCGGCCGCAAAATTTGTTTTCACACCGCCCCCCCCCCCCTCCCCCCCCCACCCACACATACTTCCTGAGATTTCCCTTCATTTATGAGGCATTGAGTCACATCAACCCTCCCTGTCGGCGGGCTAATATTGTAAAGCGTGCAGGCTGCTCGAACAATTTGTCCAAACCTCAGCAATTGCTACCATTATCTGATATTTGAACACCTCATACATGGACGATTATTTATGTCATCCACTTTTTCTGAAACTTCTTGGAGTAAGAAAGGAAGACAATTTATTATCCCCGGAGAACTGTGATGTTTGTGAAGAATCTTTCTGGCTTGATGAGCAATTTCCAGACTGAAGGCAAGGGAAGGAAGACGCATGATGCGACCGTGGTAACTGCGATTGTAGCTGAGGAGGTCAAAGGATGCCTTTCAAACACGTAGATGTGCACGTTCTGTCGCAGTCGTCGGTGTCGCCATTAGGTTAAGACCGCAGATAACCCCTACACCATTCAGCACCAAGTCGGGCCTACAGCAGCCGAGCTGGTTGCACTCGGTGTGTTTGCGACCAGAGCCAGCACCAATATCACCCTCCGCGAACCGATCCCTCGGTTGGAGACTGGGCAGCGCACCGACGCTCCGGACCTTGCCTGCATCCATTCCCCCATAAGCCAACTCTCATCCTCGCCATCGCTCTGTCAGGCTGGCAGCAGGGTCCGGAGAAGGACCCTGATAACGAGATCCCGCAGGCACGCTGCCAGAGGGCGGAACGCCGGTCTGCTGAGCCCACCGACGCCATCATGACCCTTCTGACCCTGGGAATCGCTCTGCGCTTGGCGTGCGGTGGACGTGCGCCGATGGATGCACGCCGTTCGCGGCCAGAGAACGGGTCGCGGCGCTCTCCTGTGCCATGTCTTCAGAACCGCGCACATCGCAGTATTCCGCCCGGTATTTCGTCGGTGCGATCTAGTGGCACTCAACACAGACCAACGTGATGTTTTTTTTTTTGCCATCTGCACGATCTCGCACAGCCGCCCGACGCGCGTGCGTCTGTCAGTGACACTGTCATTGGGACAGTCACACTGGCGCATGCGGCACACAGGCCTAGCCTGTGTCGGTCTGGTGGCGTCGCACGCTCCGCTGCTGCGTGGCCGTGCGGCCGTCTCAGGCTGAGCTGCCAGCCCGTGTCGTGATGGGTGACGTGTCGCCGCGCCTGCCTCAGGCTGATGCAGGCGCAGGCGGACCGGGAGGCCAGGATGTCCTCCTCCCCAGACGACGCGCCGGCTTCGCTGAGCGAACACGACGAGTACCAGCCACACTTCCAGCGGGTTGTCATCTCCGGCGACATTGCTAGCGAGGTGAGCTTCCAGTCTGCGGGGTCCGAGAGACTCGACAGCTGTGTCGTGAGCTGCCACAGAGCTATAACACGGAACGTGACAGATCTGCCCTGTTCCCGGATTCGTCACACGTGAAATTGCGAGCATAACGGTGTTCAGGCTGTCACGTTACACTATCCTCATTCACCGGCCGTGGTTATGGAAACACAGGTGGCAGACACCTGTACAAGATGTGATACGACGACGCGGCCAGGCTTACTGGAAGCAATAGAACATTCAGCTCGGAAATGGTACACATTTTTAGACATGGTTTTCAAGAAAGCTTCCTGCTTTTATCTTAATCGCATCAATTAATTTGTTCCTTGATACTAGAGGGCAAATTGAAATTTTTGAACAATTTGAACCCCTTCGAAGCCAGCTACTAATTTTGAACATCAATGTGTGTGAAGTTCTGAAAAAGGCGCCAGTGTTTTGCCTGGCGCCATCTTTGAGTGGGGGCGCATGCCCGCGATTTTTTGTCACTGCATGACGTACTTGAAGTGAGCTTTCGCAGGTATGAGTGAATGAGGATCATGTTTTAAAACCCGCTCATTATAGCTCAGGAGCATATGTAATTTAGACATGATCATGCAAGTTGTGGGCTCTTCGTGCAATGTCCATTGAAATACATTAAAACTGATCGTTTGCAAGCATCCACTTGGTATGCCAGTCTAAGGCCTGCTATTGAGTGAACGGCCATTTTGCTTGCTCCACAACGCGATGATTTATCGACTCAGCGATGGCTTCGCAATTTCTTTCATACAAGTACATCATAGCCCACCACTTACACCTACATGCAATGAAGAACACATCATGACTGTTTCAACAAAGAGGACTTCTGCCAGATGGTTCACAAATACTACACAAACAGTCGTATCTAAAATGATTACATAATATATTTCAAACTCTAAGGTTAGATGCAGAACACTTCTTCGCATTAGCAAAGTGCCTGCTGATAAAACAGACTGAAAGCTCTAGAAGTAGTTGACAACGAGAATTGGCCAATATAACAAAGCCAGTCGAAGTGCTGCCGAAGTATGGAATGATTTAGACGAAATTCTAGCAGTAATGGTATAATAAATGCTCGAGCTCTAGTCCTTGTCCGGTGCCATAGAAGGCAAACGCAACGTTTCGACCAATTAATGCCCCGGCCTTCCTGCAGGTGTTATGGAGTCCCAAGAAGCCCTCGCTGATGTTGGAATTTTGGTCGGGCGTCTGACTCAAGTTTTCCCAGTAGAACTGCTGTCATTCGAGCAGGGGAGGGAGATGGGGGCTTCTGATTTTGGGTTCAGCGACCTGCGACTGGTGTGACAGAGCCTGTTTTTATTAGCGAGGTGTTAAAACGCTGCATTAGTAACCGGAGAACCCTAGCTAGTATCCCAGCAATTTATGGAGGAAATCTGGACTGTGCGCATGTGTGGCTTAAAGCCGAACACTTTACACTCACCCATCAACGGGTCCTCACGCCTCCATGATATCTGATGAAGGCCGGATTATTAAATAGGCGAATTGCTGTGTTCAGACGAACACGCCATACAAAAACAATAGTCAGAATAGTTATTCGCTCACAATATTGCCAACCCTTTCCATTTGAAGTACCAGCCATTGTCAGCCATAACGAAATGCTGTGCAAATATGTCTATAATGCTACAGAATGCGCTATGCCATGCGAGCGCATGTAAGTGTTAACTCGTCACATTCCTTGGGATATTATCGTAATTTAGTGTGTAGATCAGTTGAAGACTTGAAGATACTAACTTGGAGAAAGGAATTTTAGGCCCTTCTTCGAAAACGCACCATGCCAAAAATACGGTGCATAATGGGTAATGCTCATTACGCCAGCCGCCTAGATGAATATCAGAGTCACAGGTAGATTTCAGGGCTCCTAATATTCTGGCTGTGAGCAAAGACGTGAACGCAATTTGGTGTTTGGGTATAAATTGTTAGAGTACGCATACACGCGTCATGCTGCAACTTCCATTATTTCATAGCAAGGTCTAGCTTTTCCCCGAACAGAAAATAATGTAGGTGTTTTACACAGAGCGAAAATGAATAGCATACCGGCACTGGGTGCTGACAATAACCCATGTGTCATGCAAAGCATAAAACTAAGGCGTTTGATGCTGCCGCCTTCGCTGACTTTTTGACGCTTCTCCGCTTTGCCGCCATACGTTCGCCGTTTCTCTGCATGTTTACAGTTTGTACATGCATATGGTGTTTTATCTCGCTATTTCTGCACTGTCACGTGACCTATCAAGCGCTCTATAGAAGAGTGAGCTGCGGAAGTTGTCTGACCTTGTATCGCTCTGACATAGCTGCCTGGATGCCATGGCGGACTTACGTTGTACGGTGTAAGTTGATAGCAGTACGGGACACGCCTTCACAACGCATGCCTGTCATGTCACCAGTGTTTGAAACCCGGCACGTATCGCACAATGCAGTTTGGGTTTGCCTTTGTTAGACGTCACAGCAGGCCTCGGACGGGAAGGCATTGGCACGTGCGCATGTCATCACAATTATCTTTAGAAACTGCCAACCTCCGGACCTTTAAACAGATCTCAACGAACACTGGTGGGGTACGCAGTTTTAAAAGCTCGTAGTTTGTCCAAACATGACGTGAGGACCTGACACCACAGAGGTTGAAGATATATGGTGTAAAAGGGCTGATAGTTGTTCTTTTCCAGAAGAATTATGCGTTCTCTACAACTAAATAAATGCTGACTTGCCAAGTCGTTATCTTATCGGTACTGCAAGCAACTACATGCCACACATATTTTATGCTGGACACCGCTCACACAGGCCAAGTCCGATTACACAGCAGGACACGTCCAAATACTTATTAGCTGTCTGTTCATGACAGCTGGTGAGCCCGTTGTTTTGTTCGTGAATTTTATCTCATTAGCTCGTAAATTGGCAACTTAAGACGCATTCGGGTGGCGGGACAGGTTGTCCCTCCCCGATGGTTTTTCAACAACAAAAAAATCGCGCCCCAGGGTAGCCGCATCCGAATTTTGTTCAGCTAGAGGCACTTCAGTATCAGAACAGTCGGTATACAAAGTTAATTGTTCCTCGCCAGGTCACTGACCTACGGCAGATAAAATTCAGGTCTTGCTTTCATCGAAGGCAATTCCTTGGGAATCGTGATGTGACAATGGAGCGTTAAGAAAAGGCATGCGATTTCGAAATGCTTTTTTAGACAATCCTTCCACAGAAATTCGGATAAGGACTCATTCCAATGACCTGGAGATTTATGTAGGTCAGATCAAGGTCAGAGAAAGCAAAGCCGCTTAATTACTGGTAAGCTTGCCTTACAAGGTAGCTTTTGACAACTTTTCGAATTCTTGGATCACAACGAGGCCAAAAGATGTCTTAATTTGACTTTACGAAGACCAGGAGGGAGGGAGGGATAAATGATCTAAAACGACCCTGATCAACCTTAAGGTTTTATAAGCTTGCCACCAAGTGCAGTGCTCGGCGTCTATGGTAATTAAAATATCAAAATAATGACGCATAGCTTCCGATAATTTCATTTGGTCTTCCAGAGGTCATATAGGTTTTTTGATCTCATAAGAGCATTAGTGATATTTTGCCTATCAGAGGCACCTAGATTGAAGCTGACTGAGTGAACAGATCTAAGGGCACTCCTGACACCGATTGGGAGTTTGACATTGTCTGGACCTTATTTGAGCCGAGGGTCACTACACAAGAATCTGAAAATCTTCAAAAGAAAGTTTTCATGAAACAAAATCTGTCTGTGATTTCGGTGTTTCGGGACTACTTAGTTTTTTAGGTGCCAGGGGGTCCAATTGCCTCCTCTTCCAATCCGAGCGCGTCACATTCAATCAGCCACTATAGCACGTGTTTATATGACACAATCTCGTGCAGCACATAACGGAAGGTCGATTGTTCATCGCGGAGAGTTCGCCCTCTTATAAAAAGCTTTTGTGTTATAAGTTCCAACTTCATCTTATTTTCCATCAACCACTGCGCATTTTTATGTCCACCCTAGTGCATATACTTTTGATGATCAGAGAACATTTGTTCTGCTCAGCTCACGTTCCACCCAGTTCGTTCAGATCTGTTCACTTTGCACCCACTCAAAACGCATCAGTCGAATGATGCTACATCTTGATTTACGATCTGCTTGGGAGAGGGCTCGAATGCTCTCCCTGTGGTAGCCGCCAGCCGCCACTGGTGCCTCGCCATGCACGCTGCCTCAGCCAGTCGGGTTCATTGTTTTGGACCCGACCGAGCAGTCACGACTCAGTCACGTACCCGTGACACGTATCTGTCACGTATCTGTGGAACGCATGTCACGCACCGTGACATACGTGCCATGGACCTCTACTGAATATAGACAGAAGAGCAGATAAAATGAAAAAATATCCCCGACATTTTACCAGAGAGATATTTGCAGATGAAAAATGGGCATTTGTCCGATACACCGTCACAGAAGATGTTGTTTTACATTGCTTCGATAGCTTTTATACTCATATGTTGAGTTCTAAGACTTTATGATACTTCTCCGCCTACACGCATCTCTTTGTCTGGACGCTTGATCACCAATAATGCTAAGTTTCGATCGACCTGAAAGGTAATTAGGTATACATAATTTACTGAAAAATTATGAAATAAACGTATCGATATATAAATAAAAAAACGTAAAGCCTACCATCTAGTTTGCGTCCAATCTTGATTCAGTTTATCACATCAAGGTGGTGCGGTACATTCCTCCCCCCCCCCCTTTCGCGGTGCGCGTGTTAATTAATCTAGGGGATTCAGGCGCGGTAAGTACGCGCTGGGGTTGGAGCGCGAATCACGAATAATAATTTGACTTCAACACCCAAGTCCTGTCTTTTCGTAACTGAATGCATTATTTTGAGTTAACTTCTCTTTTCCCAGATAGGTGAGTTCCTTGACATAAAAAATACAAGGTTCAGAGCATGTTGTACCCAAGCACGATATCTCAGAATACTTGGATGTGTGTTATCCATCACACACCCCATGTCAGTACTGTCATGTGGACATCGACAACGTCCGACTGTTTCGCAACGTTGCCCAGACCCGACTGTCGGTCCGCTCGGTCAGAGGAGGCGTCCGTCTGGAAAGCCCCACGTGACCCATGACCTGGACGGCTCCGGGCCCGCCGGCCTGCAGGTACCCACAGAAGACCTGCAGAACGCCTCCAGGCTTCTGGAGCGCGCGCTGGCCATCCGTGAGCGGTACATGTCGCTCTCGCAGCAGTGGTTCCCGCCGACGGCCGGCCGCTTCCTGCGCACCATGCCCGCCTCGGCCACGCGCTTCCACGGCGTGCGCACACACATACGAGGTCAGGGGAGGCGCGCGGCGGCGGAGCATGCGCACAGCTGTCCTCAGCGAGAAGCAGGCTATGTCTCTGGACGTATGCAATGTGTTGCAGCTTCCTTAATATCGTGTGTGGTCACCTTTGTCTAAAACCCGAAGCTCATGACACTCAACTTGTCTTAGGACCGGCTTCGCCTACGTTGGCATCTCTCGGGCCCAGTTTAAAGGCGAAACTCCAGCCATCTTTTCAGGTTACACGCCACGAAGATATGTTCTCAGCATTCGTGTAAATGTGAAATACAGCCATTTTACAATATGATCCCGCGTGCACCCGTTCATCTATGTGGTCTGACCCTGGGTGCATAACCAAATTTCTAACCTCTGATCCTCTTGAAGCTACATTTTGTCTCCCATGTACATCCATAGATTATTTACAGAATAATTCTTCACAGGAGAGATTCCCCGCACTTGACCCAGCTTTTTCCGTTATCCTACGATCACCCGTGGGGTCATGGCCGTACCAACCGCCGCTCATTTTCAGTCACTCGTACTTACCCGTTACCAACTCACTTAACTTTTTATTATTTTAGGTGCGAGTTATGTGGGAGAAAAGGACATTTTTGGGCCTAGATTGACTATTTTCGCTTTGACAATTTCAGAATTGGGACAAATGTAACTATATTTGACCAAAAGAAGTACAATTGTTTGTCTTTACCCGTGTCGTGACTAGTTAACTGCCAAAAATTGAAACCCACTTCCATTCGAGCAGCCGTGAAAACCAGTATGCGAAACCTGTACCACAGACCACATTCTACACCTGATGCCGCGTCCATATGCCCCATCTGGCGTCCAGTTCTGCACCCACAAGCGGTATTGCCTCTGATCTCACTTCTGCAGAAGGCATTTGCATTTTTTGCCGCGTCGACGAATGTCCCGTGTCTTATTCCGCGTGCACAAGCGATATGTTGCCTCCATCCTGTGTCCATACACAGGATGGAAAGGGATAACTCCTGCTCCTGGCCGTCTGCTCGCGTGAGTCAACTTGCCTCCAACCCTGCATGCATGGCGCTGTCTTCTACGCAGGCCACCTCCCCGCCCCCTATCCGTCCACAAACGCGACCTTGCCTATGATCTCGTATCCATATGCCTTGTCTCTGGGCTGACACTGGCGTCCATTCTTGCCACATTTACACAGCGTTTCAAATCGGTTTTCAACTAGCGCACCTCTTACGTCACGCCGTGTTATCCGCGGGCTCAAATTACGCCCAGCACAGTAATTTTGCCCATTATCTGGAATTTTGGTGTTGAGAAGAAGCAGAAATCGGTGAATGGCAGTTATTAAAAGTGTGCACGTTTACATCTCTTAAGTCAACCAATAACCCGATTGTGTCTTTACCTAAGGCCACTGATCGGAGGGATCCAATTTCGCTTGTCACGTAGGACGACAATTGCACTCCAAGTGTCGTAAGCCGTGCGTGACGTCTCGCGGGATTCCTTAATTCCAGAATCTTGCAAGACTCGCGCTAACTCGCACTACCTGATTTGCAAGCACAGGGATCTCTCCGAGCACTGGTTTCTTGCCGCGCTGGTGTCATAATGTGCGCATGTACACCACATACGTCATCGAACCTTTGACGCCGCGTCCACCCATTCCACAGAGCATTCTATCCACGCGCCAACCACGGACAAGCCGTGGGACGTGGACTGGGTGCCGGCGGTGCCCTACACGTGCCAGCTGAAGCACGGCGTGTTCCAGGTCAGCGACGAGAAGGGCAACGTCAAGGACTACCCGTACCCCGACCTCGATAATTTCTTCACGGACTTCACCTTCCTCTGCACTATCATCGCGGATGGGCCTCTGTGAGTAAACTCAGGGTTCTGTTGCTGCCCCGCCGTTGGACACATGTCACTGCCGTGTTCCAGGCGCGAGGTGAGATAGATGACGAATGCGAATTCTTTAAAACCTATCTATGGAGGAGCGAACTGAAGAAGGAAAATGGCTCAAAAATTACGGAAGTACACCAAAAAAGTGTGTTTCGTTCCAAATGGGGCCCACTTTCAACGTTGAGGTAGGGCCGCATGCCGCAACTTAATGAGAAATTGCCGCCATGGTAGATGCTAAGAGTGACTTAGTTGACTTATGGGGTTATCATTTATCCCCAGATGCTAAAAGTCGCTTAGTCAGACATATAAACGTATAAAATGTAAAATTATCAGAAATGCGAAGATGCCTGGGCCTCCAGATCTTCCCGAAATTTCGGGACACCTCCAGCTTATTCCAAACAGCGCATCTTTTGGAATGGGTACTGTTATCCAGGAGAGTCATGGGTTCGCGTCCACAGTTCTTCCAGACATCTGCAAGACCCCATTACGCGTCGAATTTATGAAGGGAAACGGGTTTACGTTGCATTTATCTGCGCACGTCTGAGTCTGGGCCAGGGTCTGGGCCATGTCAGTCCGCAGCAGGCCGCGACCTCTCACATATGCGTCGCCTTTTGCCGTCGCATGACGTCTTGCGGTCAGGTCATCGAACGAGCAGCGGGGAGACGTCAGTGCCCGTCGCCCAAATTACCCTGATACCTCCGTAACTGCTGCTGCTCCAGCTCGGCTGTGGCAGGTGGCACTGACAGCCACATCGAGCTGGAGTTCCCAGCTTGGGCAGGTGTCTATAAATGTCTGCGGTCAGCGAACCTGGCGCTCCAGCGCAGGCGCGTGCAGCTTCTCGGCCCGTGCTGGAGACGGAGCAGAAACAGTGCAGTGCTGGGTCTTGATCTCGTGATGTGCTGTGCGGTGTCTGCCAATATTAGCATGCTGTGTTATAGTCGTTACTTCATTTGCCAAAACAGACACGCCTGGCATGGCATCGTGGCAAAGCGATGATGGGTGGTAGGCAAGCTACGGATCACAAACGTGGAGTCGTCAGTGGTTATCACGTAAACGCAGATGAGTTTCAAAACATGCTTACCGAGTCCACACCTCTGGCAGCCACATTAAAAAAACAGCGAGTATTATCAATGCGTAGAAAGGTCCACCCACCAATCTGGGGAGTTTGACCGGCGAATGACCCCGACGTAGCGTTTTCGCGCCTTTTCACGAATCACATTCAGTGATAATTCGCACGATTTGAGTGTGGTCAGACATCGGAAGTTTAACCGGCAAAATTTTGAAATGTCGGTGATTTCTGTTTTTCGCACAAACGTTTAGGTTACAGCGTCTGAAACTTGTGATGATATTCGGAAAAGGTGTCATCATCTGCCTTCTAGTCGATTGCTAGCGCGCCTGTGAGAAGTCCATACAGTTTTGAGACTAGTTAATGAGCTGAGGCCGTGCATATAGCTACACCATGTGTTTGTTTCATGCCTGCGAGCTCTCTGATCTCTGACGTTTGACACACATTGTCAGCATAATAGTCAAATCCATGGCTGTGCATGAAGTCGCGTGACCGTGTGCGCACGTCGGTCGGCAGTTTGCACAAACGGCGTTCGTTCCCTTCTCCATCGGAGCTTGTCAGTTCGTGTCGCTTCTCACCGGATCCTTCAGATCTAGACTTACTTTTGACCTGTTTTCTTCAACGTCTTCCACCTGGCATTTCCCCATGTTCATCGAGTGTGGAACGGTGGAATTGCGATAATGAAGCCATGCCGTAGGAAAATCCGCCTGAGCAAGCAATTTGCAAGCGCAAATTTGTAGGCATTGCACCTCGTCCTGCTGGAGGCTGCATTAACATGCGATGGACGGGCGCACATATATCGCGCTCTAGAAAATGTAGCGTTCGCGCCGGACCGAGTAGGTTGAAAACTATGTCCAAGTGGAATACGCCTACGGGCTCGATCGTAATCGAAGTATGCCAATATACCAGCTACCAAAATAGATATGGTATCCACTGTCGTGCATGCCAGTGAATATCCACACTCGTGCCTACAAAGAAATTTTAAATATTAAGCAAGTCGTCAAGTGCATTTGCGAGGAGCATTATGCATACAGTTAAGCCAGTACTGTTAGTCTTATTCCTCGTTGAATAATTATGATACAGGAAATACGGATGTATTAATATCTGGGCTACAGGCCTTTGTCGAAGCGGATGTTAGTAGTAACCTCAAAACTAAATGCAAAATTTCGAATTCTCTTCTGATGTTCGTTTTGGTAGAGGAATACAGCCTCGATATCAGTGCACCTATCTCTGCTTTCTCCTGGTTATTCTATGAGGAATGAGGCTAACAGTACTCTCTTTTCTAGATATAGAAGTTCTGGGTAGCGCACGATAAATTGAACATTGCATATTGCATTGCGTTGTGCATGTTGTTCATACATTGCACTGCGCATAATACATTAATGAGACCCAATATATAGCATCATGCGATACCCATCTCTCGGCTGCATGTTTGCCGGAGCTTGCGAGCACATCGGTGTCGGCGGTCGGGGCCGGCCGAAGCTGACCGTCGGCTGCCTCGTTGCAGGAAGTCGTTCTGCTACCGGCGGCTAACCTACCTGTCCTCCAAGTTCGAGCTACACGTGCTGCTCAACGAGCTGCGCGAGCTGGCCGCGCAGAAGGCTGTGCCGCACCGCGACTTCTACAACGTTCGCAAGGTGCGCCGCTGTTGGAGCGGTGACCTAGGCGCCGGCGCCTGAGCAACCGCTGGAGAAGCAGTGCCACCAGGCGCCGGCGCCTGGAGAGCCGCTGGAGAAGCGTCTTCAGTGCCGGCACCTGAGGGCCGTCCGCCGGGCCTCAGGACGGGCCTGAGGGCGAAGTGTGGAGGTGTCTCAGGCGCGCCTGAGGGCGGAGGCGAGCCGCTGGCGGAGCGGCTTGACCAGGCGCCGCCCGTTGAGGGGGCGTACCGCTGGCGGAGCGGTGCCTCAGGCACCGGCGCCTGAGGGGCGTACCGCTGGTGGAGCGGTGCCTCAGGCACCGGCGCCTGAGGGGCGTACCGCTGATGGAGCAGTGTCTCAGGCACCGGCGCCTGAGGGGCGCACCGCTGGCGGAGCGGTGCCTCAGGTACCGGCGCCTGAGGGGCGTACCGCTGATGGAGCAGTGTCTCAGGCACCGGCGCCTGAGGGGCGCACCGCTGGCAGAGCGGTGCCTCAGGCACCGGCGCCTGCAGCCAGATACTTGGCAGACACGCGAGCTGCTCGACGTTGAATGGCGGCCAAACGCAGAGGCAGGAAACTGATGGAAGGCTGGGGGAGGGTGGATTCCATGGGAATGCGGCTTTTGTCATGCGATACCACGGTTAACATTTAGTTATATCCAAAGTTGGAGGAGCGATTGCCAGGCATTGCCGAAATGGAGGGTCGCTGCCCCTGCCTCCATCCCCACCGCCGAGTGCCTCGGGGTGAGCAGCTGCAGATCGATGCCCTAGTTACTCAGCAACTCTCGACGGCCAGTCATTATGGATAATCAATGTAAGCGATGCGAATTTAGAGTGTGGGCTCGGCAAACCACTCAGGCCGGGAAACGGACTGAAACGTGCGCCGTTGCAGCCCCTCCTCCCATCCGCAGTAATTTCCCCATCTCTCGATCCATGTGTAGAGAGTTCCGCGCAGTTGGTGATGTCCTATGTGGATGGCGTGCCTCGCATGCATCCCCGGACGGGTGATGAGCCGCTTTCCGTTCTCCGGCAAAGGCAATTAACGCCGCCGATTGTGTGGCGAGGCCAGGTTAATGTCGTCGTCATGGCAACGTGGGAAGGATCGCTGTCATCATTCGCTGGAACTGGTGGATGGGTGGATGCGGCGGCAGTTTGATGCTGATGTTCTTTGGAAGTTCGTCTTACTAAAACACAGCATGGATGTTTCCAAAACGTGCTTTCCCAGGGGGATGCTTCAGTTGGCCAACCATGTTTAGCATGACAGTTGTTGACACTAGTGACAACTTCTGTAACACGATGGTTTGTCGCGCTCCAGGTGAAAGCAGTCTCTTGCACATTTTACTTCACAGCTCATGATGGTCACTCTGCCCGAATTTCTTTGCATGCTTGTCATGTGTTTTCTTCTCATTTTCTTTATGTTACATTTGCCCTGAATATATCTCTATTATATATATATATATATATATATATATATATATATATATGTGTGTGTGTGTGTATGCATGTCTATATATGTATATATACGTATATATATATATATATATATATATATATATATGCATAGACACATTCACTACCATGTGATATTGTCAATGACACACTTTGTCGTATATCCCTTCAGGTGGACACTCACATCCATGCGTCGAGCTGCATGAATCAGAAGCACCTGCTCCGTTTCATCAAGAAGATGATGAAAAACAACAGCGAACAGATAGTGTGTCTCAACCAGGGCAAGAAGATGACGCTCAGAGAGATGTTCGAGCACATGAACTTGACGCCGTACGAACTCAATGTAGACATGCTGGATGTTCACGCAGTAAGTGAAAACTACCTGGTGGAGTGAGCTAGTTATGAATGTGCATGTCCCCACCCCCGTCCTAGGCCAGCATTTTCCTCGTGATTCTATCGCCGTAGACGAATTACCGCAACCTTTACCGTAAATAATTTACTTCTTGGCAAAAAGTTAAAATTCAGCGCTCACTGTAGGTTGAACGGTGCAGTAAAACTCATCGCTGTTAAGTAGATACATGAAAAAAACAATTCGAGTTTGCGATCTTCTTCGGTTTCGTTATGATGATGTATCACTAAGATCCTGAACTCCCCCTCCCCCCCCCCCCCTAAGAAAATCCCGGCTGCGCTCCAGGCCAGCGAAGCCCGATGTCCTTATATGCACCATGGCCGCTGGTATCAAGGAACTCTTTGCACATCATGCGCAGATATTTGATTGTTGGCTACTGGCACTGTGTCTAGTTACGTGCCGTGCTATGCTTTTTGACAATGAACTTAATAGGCAGCTTGGTAGAAGCAAAACAGGTCTGACGGAGTGTGGGTTTGAGACTCATAATTAGGCATACATAGCAGAGTTACGCTAAACCATAGTCTCATGATGCCAACCATTATCTAAAAATATCGGAGACGAGCTTTTGATCCTGGGCCTCCCTCGGGCCTTCATCGTCTGTTTTTTTTTTGTCATTACTAGTTCGGATTTCCTATTCTAACAATAATCGACATTTAATATGTCAGGGAAGTACTGGCCTGACGACGTGATCAAGCAAGTGTTGGCTAAATTAACGATACTCGGCTCTGTTGGAACATTACTTATACATACTTTCTCCATAAAACTAACGTTTTTAATGTAGTTTATGCTTGCTTGATAACTTCTAGTTCAAAGCCTATTCAATGTCGATTACTGTGGGTAAAAATTTCCAGCATCTAATGCTCAAGATTTGACTCCCTATGGCTGTCGCTTGGTTTGACTGATGCGTGTTTGCTTTTCTCAGGATCGCAACACGTTTCATCGCTTTGATAAATTCAATGCCAAGTACAACCCGGTGGGTGAGAGCAGGCTCCGTGAGGTGTTTTTGAAGACAGACAATTACATTAATGGGAAATACTTCGCATCCATCATCAAGGTAAGAAAAGGATTGGAAGTATGTGGGGCGCATAGATTTATTTGTGGTTTCTCTGACTCTGGATACTCCTAAACACTTGAGCTAGATTTCTAAATGTTTGCCTTTTGCCTTAATGCGATTTTATATGATATGTTAAAATGACTCTTCGCCGCCCATAGACCACTCCAGAAAAAGTTGGCTATGAGACACGCTACGACAAATTAAGACTGGTATATGCGAATGAAGTCTTAGCCATATAGTCTCAATGTTGCCTTCCTATGCCCATGTGATGTTATACTGGGGTACAGAAACGCAGCCAAGGCGGCAGAGAGGGGGGGGGGGGGGCGACCACCTCCTCCCTCGGAAGAGCTTTCGGGTGAAGAAAGTAGCTGTGATCCTCTGGTAGTGACCTAATGTCACGTCGCGAAACAATAATCGTTTGCGATCGATATATTTGTTCTACCAACTGGGGGCGGAGAGGGGGGGGGGGGGGGGAGCAGCGAGTGCTGCCACATGTTGAGCCGGCGGTTGCGCTGACCTCGGTGAGGCCGGTGACTGCGCTGGAGCGATCGAGCCAGGCGCCGACTCTGATTGCGTCAGCCACTGTTCTGGCTCCGGCGGCATAAGCCACCACAGAGGCGCAGGTCAGAGCGGCCCCTCCGCCGGCTCCAGCGAGGCTGACCAGCGCGGCTGGCCGTGCAGTGGCTCGCGGCAGTGGTTCGTTTGAGGTTGTTCATGATCTGGTGATGTCTTGTACGTGCAGGCCTTAATGGAACGAAAACGGAAATGTTCTGCAGCATAGTTACCATAGTGGCCCATTGTGGAAACTATGTTGTTTCTGAATAAGAGGTCGAGAGATAATAGGCGGCGTAAGTTTCATGAACGAAAACTCCCAGGGTGACTTCAATGCCAGAAATGATACATTGTGACACGCTTAGAGGCACCGGGTGTTTGTTATTTGGTGGCAGATCACAAAAAGAGCTGCAGTTAAAATTTCCACATAAAATAAAACAAAACTAGCATCAGAGTAAAGCGTTTAACACCAGAGCGAGGAACACCCAACTATACGAGTAGGTAATAGCGGAGATTAAACCACGCGCGTTGTGTCTCAGGAAAATATTTTCACGGCAAAGTTTAAACGGATGCCCCATTGATTTTGCTCTGCTAGTATGTCCAATGTTTCGATGTTTTTATATGTGCTCAAACGTCTGCTATTGACTGAAGTAATTCACCGGCATGAAATGCTTCCAGACGAGACGTTGTGATGGCTCAGATTGCTATCCTTCTTGCGGTGCGTCTGTTCGCGAACGGACAAACGGAATCATGTGTCATTTTGTTCGTCGTAACGGACAGACATGAGGCGTGGCACTTCAGACACGTATTCCCTTCAACAAGCTCGGTTTCAAAAAGTTGGTTCCCAGCAACTTAGTTTTGCTGTTCTTAAGATACCCATGTCTGCCGCACAATTTTTCCGCTTCATAGTGTGTAAAAGAACGCGTATTTCTGACCGCAGTTGCACCTTAAGGCAATCCCTTGGCGAACTAGGCGCAGCCGAGCCTGAAGTACCCATAGGAGGTGGAGTGTAGCCCCCTTCCTATATGAATGTGCTTGCCACCTTTGTTGGCGCAAGAAGTCATGCATTGACGTTAGGTAATACTTAACATAAATTCATAGCATTCGTTTTCAATCTATCACGGGATTTTGATAGATTTAACACACGACATAAGGTGCATTTTCCATGCATTTTCTCTTATGAGTGAGTCGCGGATATTTCCAAAACGTTAAGCTTGACGTAAGATATGACAAGCATCTGCAGTGGCTTTCAGCCATAAGATGACAAAATTGGCTCAACGCTTCTAGAAACCTCAGCGCAGGGGTGAAGTCTCGCGAAATAGCTTCAGAGCGTGGGACGGCGAACGTGGGAGCGCTGAGGAAGAAGACTTAAAGGAGCTGAAAGAAATGGCTAAACTTGCCATGAAATACACCCAAAACGTGCTAATCCTCAAAGTTTGAGCTGGAGACCTCCACCACAAACTGAATGGGAATTACACCCCTGCGTTGGGCGTCAAATGGTTTAATGTAGGATGCATGGTAAAGTTACCGTACAGAAAAAGGTAATATGGACTGGGTGACCGAGCATGCAGAAAACAGAAGTAGGCAGCACACTGGCCGACTCGACGCGATAGTCACACGCCAGGTGTCTACTGTGACGGAGCTGACAGGGGCCGGACGGCGGGTGTTCCTCTCCTGGCATTGGAATCGTTTGACAAAAGGCATATGGCGGCGCGAAGCTAGAAACAAGCGTAAGACGCCAATGAGTCGCAGTGCCCGACCACGGTCCCGACAAAACGTTGGCACGCGACGTGCCTGACCGCGCCCACGTCCGTTCGAGAGCCGCCGCGTTATGATGACGCGGCGTTTGGCGCTGGCCACGCCGGCAGGAGGTGTGTCTGGACCTGGAGGAGAGCAAGTACCAGTCGGCAGAGCTGCGGCTCTCCATCTACGGCCGTTCCGCCGACGAGTGGGACAAGCTGGCCAAGTGGGCCGTGCGCAACAACGTCTACTCGGACAACGTGCGCTGGCTGGTGCAGGTGCCGCGGCTCTAGTGAGTCCCTCGGACGGCCCGCCGTCGCGCGCGTCACAATCAGCCAGCGTGCAGATATTCAGAAGCGTGTGCTTCCTTTTGGGAGAGCGGACGTAGTTGTATCCATTGGGAACTACGTTTTACGCAGGCGGATCGGCTAAGCTCATAGAATAGTTGGCATCGTTTGTCTGAGAAATGCACGCGCGGTTTCGAAATGACACGTGCGTCCTTGTTAAATGGACATGATGCGAAAAACGCTACAAAGTCCCCCGTGGTATGTCGTAGCGCCGAAGATGAACATGCGGTACAGGTCGGCCACTTTTCGATGTGAAAACCAGCCTTTCCACGTTCAGTGATATCTACCGCTCAAACAACCTGGTGCAGAACTTCAGCGAGATCATCAGCCACACTTTCAAGCCGCTGTTTGAGGTGACGTTGAACCCAAAGTCACATCCGGAGCTGCATCTCTTCCTGCAGCACGTGAGTGCATATCAGTCGACGCTGACCTGACGGAACTACCTGTTAATCTTGGTTGTGCCAAGGTATCGTCCATGCCAAGAATCGCGTCACGTTCCCACGGTCACTTTGATGGGACGTTGTGTCTGCAGTCACCATACGCCTAGATGAGAAAGCTTATGGTACAATGTGATAACTTTGGCACACGGGTGAAATAATGCGGTAAGGCGATGCCGTCAACATGAGCGTAGACTCCCCAACGTGCGTGATGGCTTAAATCAGTTCTCCTCTAGGATCATCGAGGGTTTGATGAAAATCACCTTTCACGAGAAGTGAGATATTGCGCGAGCCCTCCCTCCTAGTCCTTAGCCTGTTATTGTTACAAGCAGGAAGATGAGCATCGGAAATCTCCCAGCTTAGGCCCATTCTTAATCTATCAGGGTCACGCGACCTGGTGATCAATGAGGGAAGGAAAGGCACAGTAATTTGGGTCGCGGTAAATGTTGCCACTAGCAAAATAAGCCAGTAAAAACATACTAATGGGACTTGCGTGGGCAACGCACAATCACGTTTAATTAGAGGCAAGCTATTGTTAAAATAATCAGTGGCTGAAAAGGTCCGTGTCAAAGGACGCGACTTCCAATGTTGGGGACATAATGTGATTGTCCACAGTCCCTTACTCTATTCCATCCTTTCACCCGCAGTGCTTTGCTGTATTCTATTAAGTGCCACGATAACATTTGCGGAACCAGCTCAGCAGACCCACGAAATATAGTACAGCTACGAATAAGAAAATCGCTAGCCGTTGGCCACCAGGTGGACACGTCTCTCAATACCGCTTGTCGTCATCTTCCCCTCTCACTACTCACCTGCCAGGGCCGTGCCACGCGCCTCTGTTGAGGTGACTCTGACTCTGCCGCGGTCAGGTGGCTGGCTTTGACTCGGTGGACGACGAGAGTAAGCCAGAGACGATCGTGTTCGACCGTGACGCGCCGCTGCCCGAGGCCTGGACGCAGATGGAGAACCCGCCCTACGCCTACTACATCTACTACACCTACGCCAACATGACCGTGCTCAATGGCCTGAGGGAGTACGTGTTGAGCAAACCGAGCCGTGTGCTGTGTTCCAAGGCACGGCTCTTGGACATGATGGGTTGAGGACTTGAGGTTGATGGGATTCACTTTTCGATGGACGGGCCGATCTGTATGTGCTACACCACTGCGGCCATTCGGCTGCGCTCAACGAACGTGGCTGCTGTCGGCCATTCGCTTCGCATGAAACCACCGTGACTTAAATCAAAAGGTGGTTTTCTTCCTGCTGGTAAAAGCAGACCTTGCCATCATGTTGTTTCGGTGCGGTGTGGCGTGCCCGACAGACAGGCTGACCTTACTGCCACCCCCGACCTGTGACCGCATGTCGCCCGCCGCGAGCGCGACAGGCAGGCTGACCTCACTGCCACCCCCAGTCTGTGCCCGCGGGTGACCTCACCGTGTCGTCCGCAGCGAGCGAGACATGAACACGTTCGTGTTCCGTCCGCACTGCGGCGAGGCTGGAGCTGTCAACCACTTGGTATGCTCCTTCCTCATGGCGGAGTCGATCAACCACGGCCTCAGCCTGCGTAAGGTTCGTCTCGGGGGTCTCAGGGTCTCAGGGAGCGTGCGTCAGCGGGGTCTCAACACACCGCCCACCGCCACGGGACCGGGACATGGCCGCGCCGCGTCCAGTGTGCAAATTATTCGCTGTGTGCCCTTGAGAATGACTCGTGCTTGGATTTTCCTCTCCAGTGTCACCGGTATCGAGCGTTTGTGGCTCTGCCTATCACGGTCCGCATTCCTTTATGAGCGATGTCGAATGAACGTGCCACCCACACCTTTGGTATCAACTGATCAATGACATCGTCGCAGTCTTAGCGCGCCACGCACCTCTGTTAAGCTAAACGGGAAAGGTTGTGGCCTCGACAGCTGTTGCGCTCATCATTTGGGACCAGCAACATTCGGAGCAACGATTTCAAGTTCGAGGTCGGACTGACCGTGGTAATCTGGTTGGTAATGGTTGGCTCCCATGAGTACTCGTTCCTGCGGCGTCAACGCGTAACAAACTGCGACTTCTACTAACGATTTTATGGTACCACAGGTCATGGCATGGGTCTGCCAGTCATTCGCTCTCTACATCACCGCGTTGATGAAAGACGTGTAGCTCCGGCATTGACCCATGATGGGGCACAATAAGGAACTTAACGCCGATGAGTTAGTATTCGGTGCCGTACCAACCACAAAATATTGCGGCACAGTATCCCTCACCCCTTTTTCCAAATAGTAAAGCATGACATGAATCGTTTAGGTCTATTTCACATTGGTATTGGTGAAAAACTTATTCAGTAGTCGACAAGCTCTTTCCGTTCTGGAAACCACAAAGTCGGAAAACTGATTTGGCAGACCGAATGCTTAACTCTCGCCCTGATATGGGGAGGGGTCGATACTGTCCCTCCCAAGATTTTCTGGGCGTGTCTCTCCGGCATGCTCGCTAAACACGCCTAAATTTTTGGTTGCTTTTAAAACATCGCTGCCAGTGTTTCGGCACCACCAACATTTTTTTTTATAATTTCCGTTTTCGAGCAATTTTTTTTAAAGAGCCACTGCACGGCGATCCACGACCAGCGCGGGCGACGGGCGGCAGCTGACCAATCCGCCGACGCGCGCGATGGGTCCACACTTTCAAATGTAGTCCTGTGTCGTAAATTTATTCTCAAAACACAAAAACATCTGCTATCATTGCACTCGAAACCAAACAAAAAACATGTCTGAATGTTTCATACTGCCACTTTGCATGGTTTCGCAAATGCAGGCGTGTAAATCTGAAGTATCATGATCGAGCCTGCCGCGTCATCACCAAGCGAACGCACCTTTGCAGGTGCCCGTGCTGCAGTACCTGTACTACCTGGCCGAGATCGGTGTGGCGATGTCGCCGCTGAGCAACAACTCGCTGTTCCTCAACTACCACCGCAACCCGCTGCCGGAGTACCTGGCGCGCGGCCTGAACGTGTCGCTGTCCACCGATGATCCGCTGCAGTTCCACTTCACCAAGGAGCCGCTCATGGAGGAGTTCAGCATCGCTGCCCAGGTCACACTGGCCGCTGTCGCTGCGTGGCAATCCGCGCTGGCCGTGGTTGGGGGAGCAGCCAGAGAGGGACCCGCTCCTGCTCTTAATGGTCCTCGGGCTTGCATTTTTACAGTACCTTAGATGACTTCTTTGGTACTATTCTGGTGTGTTGTCGCTAAGGCTCCCTTTCAGTCCCCTCTACCTCTAAGAAAATGCTGGCTGCGGCCATGGCCGGGGTAACTGTGTTATGTACGAGAAGTGACCTTTTCATGTTTGAACGTGTTTAGGAATCAAGAGGCGGTAACCTTTTGAGATATAGCTTGGTAAAAAGATTGTTTGAATTTCGCCTTCAGATATTTCAAGTTAACGAAGAACATCATTTGAGCTCGGTGAATGCATACAATAATGAAATGCGGTGTTCGTTGATTGAAGATGACTGAAGATGGTAGTTGGCAAAAGTACATTTATCGATCGTTCCACTTGCGAGAGATTCGCGTCATGCTGATCGGTGGGGTGGCGTGTGCCGCAGGTGTGGAAACTGAGCTCGACGGACATGTCGGAGCTGTGCCGAAACTCGGTGCTTCAGTCGGGCTTCCCGCACGAGACCAAGCAACACTGGCTCGGGCCCAACTACACGCGCGAGGGCGTGGCCGGCAACGACGTGTCGCGCACCAACTTGCCCGACATCCGTGTCTCCTACCGCTACGAGACCCTGCTGGAGGAGCTGAAGACCATCTTCCAGGACGCAATGCCTGACCCGGTGCAGAACCTGTCGCGTCCGACCCATGAGAGCGGCGGCGGCAGCGGCGGCGGCATCGCCGAGGAGCCACCGGCGCCACGCTGAGACATCTAGCAGCCTGGCGGCGAACTGTAGCTTACAGACACCACGCGAGAGGGCGGCGACGATGGAGGCCAAATCGTCGGTGCCAAGTTTAAGACGGCGCGCCTGACGACTTCGCTCGCTGGATAACAGCGCGGACAGAGCCATGTTGTTTTCAGATGCCTACGTACCGGAAACTCGTCCGCCCGTCAGACAGCGTCAGGCAGAGGCAGGGAGAGCTTGTCACTCGCTAGATGTTTTGTTGGGGATGCACTCTCCCTCACGCAAGGTAGTGTAGGATCCGTAGCTGATGATGGGCCAGTTTTCTGAGACATTTTACCGGACAGCTACGTGGTCCAACCGTACCGGAACCTGGTCTGGTCATCCCCATGGTCACATCCTTGTCACATAATAGACGTGAAGATCCAACGAATGTTTTGGATGTGTGCAAAACGGCAGTGATTCGAGAGACACTGGGGCGATCCCGCAAAGCTTTTCGTCGATAACGCTGCGCGCCAAGGCTGGGGAAATTTGGACGTCATGCCAAGGCAAGGCTATCGTTACTGGAGAGCTGTGCTCCTACCAGCACCCGACTGCGCACTTCTGACGGGCCTATTATGCCCTCTCCCATGCCCTCGTCTGGTGAATACTATTTGTGACTCATGGTATATTTGTTACTCTGTACCTACAAGAAGTCATATCCTTGGGAGATAGTGCAGGAGCATGAAAGTGGCAAACAGACTTAATGTTGATGAACTGCATGCTTAACGAACAACGGTACGTGGGAGGGGGGGGGGAGGCAGTGTGGGGAGGTGAGGGAAGGGGTTGTCTGGTCGTAGCTTGTTTCATTTAACGTAGGATAGCGACGAATCTGCGCTGTTAATGTGCTGTGTGAATTCATAGACATCTCACTGAAAAGGCGTTTCACAACATACTCATTGAAGGAAATGTTCAACATTAGCAGATGTTGAAGCAGACATGGGATATGAATATGGTATGATGAATTAATGATCCTTGAGTTGAATGATCCCCAAAGCCTGTCTTCCTCCAGACAGCACCGGTGTAAACAAAATGACGCGACCAGCACGCAATGCCCTCGACCAACCCACACGGCTGGTTGTCAGAACTTACATTTTCTTATACTTTGGGCGAAGGAAATGGATGGACGGAAGAGACAAATGCGCACAGAGAGTCCCGATTCGTTTAATAAATTCGTGTTAATAAATATTCGTGTTAATAAATAAATAATAAAAATTCATAAATTCGATAAACGTGGTTTGACTTTTGAGTGCCAATAAATGTGCACGCAAAGAATAATTTCGTTGTCAAACTTCCTAGAGACATTTCATCAACTTTTAAAAAATATTGCAGCGCCTCAACATGCGCCCGGGCGGCCGGCTAGATACCCTTCGCTCGAGTGGGGGGTCAATTTGACACCCCTGAGATCTCGGGAACTAAGAAAGCTAGAGACACCAAATTCACAGCGTGTCTTGACCTGTACGTGAGCTCACTTAAGTCAAAGTTTAAGCCTCCTAGGTCATGACCTTCAGGTTAAATAAGGTCAAACAAGGTCAAATTCTAGGTTGGTCTCTAAAGTGCCCCAGAACCTAGGCAACTATTTGTAAGCAAAAGGTCAAAAGCCCATTTGCGGCCAGTAACCTTGTTTGACCTTTTGGAGGTTATGGTGACCAAATCATGCAAGACTGCTCTGAGTGTTGCATTTGAATAAGCAATAAAGGTGACGCTAGGAAGTATGTTGCTAAAACAAAATGTCCACCCGGGTCATCTAAGGTCAATGACCTTTTCTGACTTCTAAGAAGTCAATGGAAAATATATAATACGGTTCCTGCTGTCAATAAATTAGAAATGAGCACCACAAACTATCCCATACAGCAGGCGCTAGAGTAATAAATCAGGCTGGTTGTGACCTTGGTATGACCTTCATACCTGACCTTAGGTCACTGCAATTTGCTCATTAAATATTTGCGATGCCTAAGAAAGCATCTCAGAGATGTGCCATTCAATTGTGTACAGCTATGCAAAATTTGGTGCGGTTACGCCGCGCCGTTCCGAAACCATTCTGGAAAAACCCTCAAGGGGGTCAATTTGACACTCCAACCGAGCGTGTTGATCCATTCTAAAGCCGCAAATCTAACTAAACGATGAGTGGTACAACAGTTATGGCTGTTTTTCACGCATAAAGGGCGTTTGCCTTAAGCAGTTAAAGTACATGCCAAGCAAATGCCATATAATTAGAGAAAAATACAAAAAACCGATGGTTATATTCAAATGAAGCTATCCAAAACATGCACATACATTTTCGACCGTAAGCCTTCCTTAGCGCACGCAAAAAAGCAAACATTCGACTCGAAACACAACTGTGCAAAAAACGTTCCAAAAAGCATCACATACTGTTCTCGGGAGTGGATATTGCAAGCAAATTTATTAGAGAGATCTTGCATTACCAGGTGTTGCCACATGGGACGAGATTCACAAGGCCCCAGCAGAAAGTTCTGGCGCTCGTCGTGGGTTTGAGATGTGTTATTTGCGTTGATACTGCAGTTTTTGATTCAGAAACATCTTCGTAGATATCATCAGGATATCATCACCCCACGGAACGTCAACTATTGACAATATAACAACTATTTGCACATGACAATAGCTCACCTCCAGGTCTCATCTCTCAAGTCCATCACCTTGAAGAGTCGCTGGTGGTGGCAGAAAGAGACGCAGGAGTCCTTAGGGTTTCTGGCCACATAGACCACCTTGCAGACATCCAGCAGACCCGGGTTGTTCATGGACATCGGCAGATGCGAACTGACGAATCGCGGAGAGGGGCGGCGACGGTCACCTGTGAGCGAGAAGCCTGCATCCCTATCCGGGTTTCTTGCCTCGACTGGAACAAGCTTGCGCCTGACCTCCCTGTCGGTCAGAGCGTCGAAGTCCAAGAAAATCCACCTTGGAAGAAAGGAAAAATATGTGTTGTTGATCACACGGGATTCCTTGAAACAACTAAGCCATTTGCGAATTCATCAGATGCGTATAAATCTGCAGTTGTCTCCGTTTTCGACTAAAAACCGCCACGAAAACACATTCTTCAGCGAATCCATGCTCCATAGCTTGGATAATAACAGTACACAGCGTGTCTGGGCCGGAATCCTGCAGACCGTATGTACTGAAGCTCTTTGATCGTGGTTATCTTCGGTAAGTGCGTATAACGATCCGTGGCGTTTGTGAAAAGTCCACGTTACGGCATGAACCGGATGCACCCGGACCACGTCGATTAGCCGCAATTAAGCGCCCTGCGGGCCAGTTCCCGTCACCGAGTTGCGTCAGCCAGGGTAGACTGCATTGCATTGCGCGCGTCACGCCATAGCCAGATGATGCGCAGCTAATAGAATAATCCGTCGGCAAGCCTAGGCATTTGTGAAACCGTTTATTTAAAGGGTATGTTCCATATTTGAAGATATTAAAGCAAACATCAGTTATGATGAATGACGCTTACTCATAATTATTGGGGTACTTACTTTCATATCTAACTTATAAGTGGAAAATCAATGAGCATAAGTATATAAGTATATATATATATATATATATATATATATATATATATATATATATATATATATATATATCAGCATATAATAGCAGTAAATATAATTATATCGTTGCATGAATACAAACTGAAACATAATTTATGTGAAAAGACTGCTCTGGAGACATAATAGAGACATAATCTCTCTTTTTGTGAACATGCTCCAAAATACCTCATAGTTTTGATTACGTCATGGAATGTTTGTACGACGGCAGAGTCGCTGCCGAATGGATGCGTCAGAATTGCCACTGCGGCAAAAAAGCTGACCAAGTTACGGTGGTTTAACGTGCTGAGTGGTGGCTAGTTAACTGGCGAGTGTTTGCGAAACTCGGATATCGTTATGTGTGCGCGTTTGGCCATTTCTCGTGGTGTTTAGTATATTATCCGTGGTTTTATAGATATTTTATGTTGTTTTCTTCCATTCACATACCTGGTTTTGGCCATTTTCTTAAATAGAATGTTCCACTTGTGAAGATATTGAAGCAAGGAACAGATGTGATGAATTAGGTTCACTCATAACCATAGATATGCTTGCGAGTGGAAAAACTCTCAACACCATTTGTCCGTTTAGTAAATATGCTCCTAAACGCGTCATTGCTTGATTTGCTTGATTCGTGATCGCGCCTTTCAAAACATTGATTGAGAGCACAGTGACTGCCGCTTTATCTGGGAATCGTGCTCGCAATAGCCAGATATAAGCGACTAGACAGTTACGTTTTTTTTTGGACTTGACGGCCGCGTAGGTAATGGAACGACAGGGCTTTGATGACCTTACTATGGCCCGATGGATACTTCGGTGACCTTGAAATAGTCTCCACGGAATAGTCCGCACATACTTGCGGGTGTGTATCTCAGAAACTACCGGGGTTTAGGTCTTTAAAAGGGCAGAGCTGTGAACTGCACAGAATGATCTCCAAAATGTCAGTTTCCTTTCAAAGCCAAATGTAAATACGAAACACTCCCTTTAAAGGGGATGTTTCGCATTTGGGAACACTCAAAGGGAGCATTTCTTCACCTGCAACGTGACCGGCCTCCTAGTTAGTGCTTGATTCTTGAATAAAGCAGTTGAATGCCTGATACCAAATACAACTGTTTACAACCAAATAATGTCCGTCCGTCTGCTACCTGGCGGGTCTGAGCGGCGTCTTGTTGACGATGAGCCACACCATCTCCAGGGTCCAGGTGGTGCCGCATTTCGGCGGTGTCACCACCCACGTGTCACGCGCGTCCAGCGCTTGGTTGTAGATACCGTCCAGATCCCCGGGCGTCACCGTCGCCGACAGCTTGAAGCTGTAATGATTGCAGGATACGAGGCCATTGGGGTATCCTCTGGAGTCCCTGGAAATCTTCTGCTGCGTCTCATCGTCCAGTGGAACGGTTTTGAGCGGGAACGGCTCGTGGTCTGGAGAACCACCTCAAAATGTGCAACAGCCGTCAGAAAGTATGGCCACGCTGTGGCATACATACATGTATACAGATATACACATATGTATATATTCATATCTATGTATATATACACTATTGCTGAACATTTTGCACCCCAATCCACCAAGTAGTGTTTTTTGAATCTCATGCTTTTATCTTTGATGTCCTATGTTGGGCAACACGTTACAAACGTTTGGTAATTTGATTAAGCCAAATAAAAGGAAGTGTTCGCAAGAGCGATAATATGAAGGTATTTCACAACGGACATGCAGTCATTTACCACAACTTTCGCGTAAAACAGAACCAGCTCCCTAAACACACATGCTTCAGAAAGGTACGCTTCTTAAATAATTGGTGTTTTTCAATATATTTTAAAATAAGTATTTCCCGCACACAACTGTGCTAATTTCAACAAAAGCCGTCGTAGAACAAATATCAGGGGCGACAGCCATTTGGCTCGAGTATTAGTAGCTCCACCAATATCCATCACTCATGCGGCGAGCAGCGGGTCGTTCCTTCGCGCGCCGAGGCCGTCCGCCGTTCAGCTAAGCATCCCCCCCCCCCCCTCCTCTTGTGTCGGTTGCCAAACGGAAACTGAGGCGGCGGTAAACGGGCAGGGGAGGGGAGGAGAAGCGTTGGTTGCTGATACAGGGGGTGGGAGGGAGACATTTGCCTCGGTCTCAAAGATGGATCCAGGATCACATAGGATGCCATGTTTACGGGGTAATTGGATCCTGGAATATTTTGGGGTGGGGTATGGGGGTGGGAGACTTTCCAGACACATGCCTGGTGGCATAGATGATTTAAAGCATGCCTGGGTGCTTCGTCCAGTGGTTAGTTCCACGTCAAGAATACGACAGTTAGAGCGGGTATGTGTCACAACGAGAATTCGGTGATAATTGGCTGGAAGCTCCAACACAACAACCTTACTGAAAAGCACGAACATATTCCAGCAACTCTGCAATGGAGCCGGGAGCGTCAAAGAAGAGTGGCCAAAGTGAGCTGCTCTCACACTGCTCGCAGAGATTTTCATCCATGAAAGTGTACCTTTAAACGTAAAGTAAATATGATTGAGGACCATTTGTTTGATGTGCTTCCACAAAGGTGAGGTGTTGGTGAAAGTGCGGTAAAGGCGATACATCACAGCACAGGGAAGACCCACAAGCACAATTGTTTTTGCTTTGTTGCATTGATGCAATTCAGCACAGCAAAGAGCAATTTTGTGTATGTGTTTAAGCGCACCGATCAGTTTGGACGAGAGCGCCAAGAGTACAAAAACCACAACGCATTCCAGTGCGTTTAAATGTCTAGAAAATAGAAATACATCTAGAAAATACAATCTACGGACGCAGTCCTGGAATTGGGGAATATCCTATTTCAAGTGGTTGTGGTTCCGCCATTTGATGTATGTATATCTATGCATATGTTAAAGATATATATGTTCACGTATGTATTTGAATACATACACACACACACGCACACACACACACACACACATATATATATATATATATATATATATCTATATCTATATATATACGTATGTGTGTGTGCGTGTGCGTGTGCGTGTAAATGCGTGCGTGCGTGCGTGTGTGTGTGTGTGTGTGTGTGTGTGTGTGTGTGTGTGTGTGTGTGTGTGTGTGTGTGTGTGTGTGTGTGCGTGTGTGTGTGTGTGTGTGTGTGTGTGTGTGTGCTAGTGCAAGGACACTGACGCCATGAACCGTCATACAAGAGCTCAATCCGAGACTGTGATCCTATCAACCAAATCAGACCCCTCCCTCACCCAAATGAGACCCCTCCCGCCAGTTGATAACAGGAGCAGTCGGCACCGACGGACGGGGGGAGCGAGCCAGGTGGGGCACACTGCCCAGGTCCAGGGCACCACCGGCATTTGTGCACCCCCTGCAAATTTGTCAAGGTGGATTGCAGTGGCGGAGTCACGGCCAAATAATACCCGGCTGCATCGGGCGTGCATAGCAGCAAGAGAAAGGCGAGCGAACCCGGCACCACAAACGGCCCGTCTCGCCTCGCCACTCGCAGCTGTGAACAGCGACCGTTTCGGGGGGAGCACCCTACTGATGGGAAAATGCACCGAGGGAGGGGCACCGGATCCGCGTGATACGCACGTCACAAGCCCACCACCAGCGTTGTGTGCCGCAAGGTACCTGATGTGAGCGTGTCAGGCGCGGCGGACGACTCCGAGCACAGCGGCGGCTCCGAGCATGCCCCTCCGTCATGGCAACAGGCTATGTGATCAGCGAACGGTGCGAGGTCAAGGTGGGTTACAAATCAGGCGGAGTGCTCGCGGTTTGGGAAGCTCCGGATAAACAGTCGCCTCCCGGTCTCGGCGAGGACCACTGCCGTCCGACCGGCCGTGTGTTGGTCTGTGTCCAAACAGCCGGCAGCGGGCATCGAACTGTGGCAGGTGAGGAGGGTGCACCATACGGTGCACGGCTGTAAACGACGTAAAATGTGAAATTGGTTTTCATAGGTGCAAAGCTCAAACCGAATTGATTGCCCTTAAGCACGGCTACATTTCAGGTGCCAGTATAGTTGTAAAAATACCTGGTTGAGCTACATTGTAGAAGATGAATAGAAGTTTTTAGGGTCAGCGTTATCGTTACATTGGGATCAACGTTAAAACACAAATGACATTTTCATGACGACTCGTCCAGCGAGCAGTGACTCGTTCTTCCGGCGCGCCGCGGTCGGCCGCCGCTCCCCCAAACACCCCTCTCCTGACATCGGATGTCTGGCGTACTCCGAGTTGCGGCGCAGAAGGAAAGGCGAGCGCATCTCAAATGGTCAAACCAGATCTTGACGGCGACGAAATCGGCCAGTATTCTAGAGAGATTTGTGAACGGAAATGCCTCTAACAGTAGTTATTGGTACCGCTGCGAGCCCTTACGTTTGACTCTAGGTCGAGATTCTCGTGTTTCGCATCGCACTCCGCAGCTGACAATTTCCGCGAGACCAAGTCATAGACGGGTCAAGGAAAAAGGGGGCGTAATCGTAATCGTGAGATGCCTCCGTATGAGAAAGACATGCCTCCGTATTTTCCAAAAGTGGGCTTTGCCCACTTCAATTTTGCCCCTGGAACCCACCTTCTTTCCTGTTTTCCCATTTAAGTTGCCACTTTTAGATCGGGTTACTCGCAAATTTGACCCCACCCGCAACTCCTTTCCACTTTGACCCACCCAATCCAGGTTTGCCCCACCCCATCTCTGAATCTTGGCTATACCCACGACTAGTAATGTGAGCCAAACGAAACACGTGATCATTGGTCACACATGCACATGTGTCACACTACACAAACACATAAGCAACAATCAAATCTGTCAAACTAGTAGGTTTACAGGCAGTGCAAAACAGGCATATCAGGCGGTGCAAAACCACCTAGAAATGCAAAGCATCATGCTTCGTAATATGTTTAAACATACCGGCACGCTGGCGAACAGCAGCGGGCTCTCAGCTCACTGCACTGCAGGGACCTCGTTCTATCACACATATTCAGGTCATAAAACTTCATAAAGGAGTTGACAACAATATTCAAAAGTTGTAGAACATTTTAAAAGCTATTATTAGTTCAACGTTTGCATTTGGAAGCTGGCTTGCGCGATGAGCTTCTTCACTGCCTCACCTCCTACGTCACTTTCCTTTTCCTTTTCCATAGCATATTGCAAAGAAGTGTTGAGCACAGTCCAGCTGACATTCGATTCGGTAAAGACACGTGTTCCAAACAATACATTTATTTGCATATCAAGCACTTGATCCTCTGGTGAAATAAGGTATGTTTGCAGTGAGCAGCGTTCCTTTTTCCCAATTCCATTTTGCATTTTCGGAATGTGCATGCCGTCTCGGTCTTGTGGTGCGTGTAATTGCTAACCACACACAGTTTTTGATTGCTGCTCTCACGATCCGTCATCGTCGTGAGTGTGACAAACGGATACTCCCTTACTCGTGTTGCATCGTGGCAAAATCATGAAATGGACGTTTGAACCGAAAGAGAATAATTTTCACAAGACCATGCGCACAAAATGACTTCTGTGCTTCGGAGGTGCTTTACGCCCCTGAAATACGCGCGTTACGCTTCTGCAATCACGTGGTACTTCGCCAGGCTTGCTATTACTGTGCTCAACTCCATTAATTCCAGTGATTTGGTGCAGTGTTCTTAAGGTTGTGCTCTGTGCTCTGTATAAACTGTGCTCTGTGTGTGCTCCATAAACCCAGTGTTGCCCTCCACCGCGTCGGTGCTTCTGCTCTCCTTTGGTTCGACTCTGCATGTGCCAAGCTGGTCAACGGCTGGCCGCAAGCTGGCGCCATCGCTGGGGAATGTCCTTCAGCATTAAGATTCCTGCAATATGTGCATGGTATTTCCCCGCTTTCGGCAGAGCACGCAGTTTGGGGTTTCTGGATTAATGCTGCTGCTGGGGCCGCGGTTCTGCCATATATATATATATATATATATAATATATATATATATATATATATATATATATATATATGATCCCCCACTTCCAGAAATGCATCCGCAGACTGCGTTTTCTAGATGAATACACCGGAATGCGTTATGGGTTGTGTTTATTCTGCGGTCTCGTCTAAACTGATCGATAGACTTCAACACATCTACAACAACGCTCTTCGCTTTGCTAAATTGCACCAATAGGTCTGGCTTGTGCTGTGGTCACATCACCTTAATCACCCCTGCACCAACGCCTCATCTTTTGTGTCAGAACAGCACGCAAATGGTCCTCACTTGTCTTCACTATGCGTTTGAAGGTGAATTTTCTTTCATGAAAAATACTGAGCGATGCAATAACAGCTCACTTCTGACCACTCCGCTCTATGGCTCCCCGCTCCCTGCGGAGCTACTGACCAATTTGCGCGTGCTACCCAGTTAGTTGTTAGACTGGAGTTTCCAGCCAATTATCGCTGCGTTATCGTTGCGACGCACACCCGCTGTAATGGCCGTATTATAGTCATCATCATATTCATCATTCATCCATCAGGCATTTGTGTGGAGCCCCCCCCGCCCCATCCCACCCCCCGCCACGCCATAAAATCCCACGATCCCATACCATGATACCATTAGCATGAAATCCTATGTGATATTGGATTTTCCTTTGGGACCCAGGCAAATGTCTCCCTGCCACGCCCCATATCAGCAACTCTCCCTTCCCTTCTCCCTCTCCGCCGCCCTCAGGTTGCGTCTGGCATCCGACACAAGAGGAAGGGGGATGCTTAGCTGAACAGCGGACGACCTCGGCGCGCAAAGGGACGATCAGATGCTCGCTGTAAGAATCATAGAAATTAGTAGAACTACTAAAAGTATGAGATGACACGCATGCATCCGGGGTAAGCACCCCCCCCCCCCCAAAAAAAAAGCCGACCCCGCGAACGCCTTTTTGATATTTCCTCAATTCATACACTGGCCATCCTTCTTCAGCAGGACACGGCAGAAGCAGTCCTTGTGAACCAAGTAGGCCTCGATGGGAGCTTTATTAAATGATGTACCCCGCCAAGTATTACTACAAGACAGGTGTATTCAAGAAAGTCCGGCACACTTTTACGCATAAGTTCGAATGTGAGAAGGCTGCTTCCAAGAGCAGGATTTAAAGCTGGTAGAACCACCTCGAAAAGTAAGGAGAACCTTAACGCAGCCGGTAAAAACCATCCAAGCCACTCAGGACGCCCCAGGAAATGTACAGACGAGGGCCGCAGCCCCAGCCAGAGGCAGCATCGGACCATTCTTCATCGATGAAT